GTGAAGGATAAGAGCCTAAAACCGAGGACTGTCCATGGTAAATACAGAGACTGGCAGCATTGCAGAGGCATTTACAACAGACTTGGGCCTGAAGGGGCACAGCAAGATGGGAGAAGCTCAGCATGTCGTATAAGCCTATATGCCTCCTTCACATTTAATGCAAATATTCCCCAGACAAATTATTCAGGAAAGACAGTGGGATTTTCTAGGGGAAGAGGCAGGCCTGCATTAATGCTTCCATCAGCTGGGAGCTCCTGCTGGGCCTTGATGCCAGGGCCCCATGCCCCTAAAGAACAATACTCTCTTTGTGACTACATCTCCTTGAGTACAATAGGTTGCTGAGCCGAAAAACACATGTTTAACTCTGCCTTGCTCCCTGTGGGAAGCAACAATGGCATCAACACTTTCCCCAGCATGGTGCCTGCTGGATACTGTTGGACTCCTACTCCCATCAGCCCTAGCCAGCAAAGCCAAAGATCTGGGATAATGGGAGTTGTAGTTCACATAATATAGAGGTCATCAGGTTGGGGACGGCTGCTCTAAGGATAGCCATATGTGTCAGTGGTGCAGCACTGATAGTTCAAAGTCCAGCTGCAATGAAAACTCATTTGTTTGCTTGCAGTCTTTGTTCATGGAATTCAGGAGCTTCAAAATGAATAAGTACTTGTATTATGAATGCTGCCAGGTCAAAGATTTATTGACCCTTCTTGGAGAGGGGGCCTTGTGCCCTTTGAGATAATAAAAATATGAGACGAACCCTGCTGGAACCAAGGGCCCACCTACTCCAGCATTTTGTTTCATAGTAGCCAACCGGATGCCTATGAAGTGAAGCCCCCAAGTAGGATGTGAGTACAACAGTGCTTCCTGCACTTGTGATTCCCAGCAAGTAGTATTCAGAGGCGCACTTCCTATGATAGTGGAGGCAGAACCAGTGGGGTTGACTCCTTAGACCATATCCTTATCAAGATCTAGACTTGTGAGCCGAATTTGACAGGTGGCTGGGGCTCTGCGCTGAAATTAAGGGCTTATTAAATGTCTGCCTGGCACTAGATATTTTGCTGCCTAAGGCAAGGACAAGATGGTGCCATTCCATCTATACAACTGGAACAATGTCCTCCACTGCACCTCAGGGCACCAGGCTGTTTAGGGGTGTATGAGAGGCTGTCCTCTAACAGTAAGGAATAAGCAACAGGCTTGGAAGAAATGGCTGTTGGGGGAGGCACCACCATTGCCCTCAATCATATACCACCCGAGGCGTTTACTTCACTCTGCCTAATGGTTGAGCCTGCTCTGCATAGGCCTACAGCTGTGGGGCAGAGCCTGGAGATTCAACTTCTGTGGGAGGCCTGAGCCCCTAGAACACCAGAGAGTCTAGCAGACTATTCTTAACTTCTGCCCAACCCTGGCCGAGATCACACTTGAAATCTAGATTCCACATTTTTGTTAAGTTTCATGTTGGAGAAAGTCAGCACTGCCCGCCCTCCCCCATGCTGCTGCTTTAGAGTGCAAGGCCTGGAGAGTGGATCCGTTGAAAAAGAAAAGGTCAGGCTGATAACAAGAAAAGAGCTCAGCGGATGTCAGAGAAAGTGGGTGGAGAGCTTATACAGCTGGACAGAAATAATCTGGCTGGTAGCCACTTGGTATGCCAACACTAAAGGGATCATTCTTAACAAAAGCAGGGAAATAATTCAGAGTGTATATACACCTGCCTGTTAACATGTATGTGGGTCACACTGATCCTATTTTTCAGTGTGTGCTTTTGTCCACTTTTTTCTACACTTGTGCACTTTCAATTGAACTCCAGTTCAATGGTTCCTGTTCACACTAGTGGGTGGTGCATGATGGGATGTATCGCGCTGGCTGTTGTTTGCTCCCCACAACTAGTATTTCTCTGCTTTCCCTGAGTCCTGGAAAGTTGAGGTACATTGTGAGAATGCACATACTGTAGGTATTTCTCTGCCTGTCCACAGGGCCTTTTAAAATAAGTATTTTGATTGAAATAGAAGTTTCACAACTCAAGAGTTGGTTGCCAAAATGTGGAGAACTGAACTTAAGCTTAGAAAAATGAGAAATAGCAAGAAACTAAAACTGACAGTCACCCATCCCTAACTTTCAGTATAGGGTTGTGAACGAAAAGCAGTTACTGTTTTGCTACTGAGTCCAGCACTAATCAAATTGGATTGCATAGGGAAGGATTTGCTCATCTCACAGGTATTACAGCAGCTGCTCTGAGCAATTTTCAACCTCAAATCCTGCTGTGGGATGAAGGAGACACAGGAGGAAGTTGGTTTCCTGCCCGCCTTCTTTCCAAGCACAGGCCCATGTGGTGACAGGTCCCAGACATTAGGTCATTGGGCACTGCACCAGCCGGCTTGCTCTGGCAGTCTATGCTTGTCCCTCCCTTATGTAGGGAAATAAAAGATTTTGCTTTTATTCAAAATAGAAAAGCAAAAGTCATACTCCCAAATTAGCACTGGGTGTGGTATGAGCATAGTTCATGAGAATGGGTTGAGATGCTAAGGCTTGATACTGCTATGGTTAAATTTGCTAGCAGATTTATAAGGTTTGTGGGATGGCATCCATGAACAGTCAGGGGACAGCGAGTGAACATCAAAGATGGAATGGGACACTATAGTGGTTGCAAGTCAATCAAAATATTATTTGTCACTCATATGTGATCCTACTCCCTCTGAAATTGCATCCAAACTGACACAAATAATTGTATTCAATCTTAGTTATGCTCAAGTAGGCTAAATAAAGTGGAATTAATGTACATTAATAAAGAAACAATTCACCATCATCATTATTAAATTTGTATACTGCCCTTTATCTGAATATCCCAAAGCAGATGTCAAGTTTCACAAATGCACCATGTTTCTTTCTTCCTAATGCAAAAGATTACTGTCTTAAACACCCATGTCCTACTCTGAGGTCTAAGTTCCAGAGATGCTGGAGTGGTAGCTGAACCCTTCAGAATGATAACATTTACAGATCAAGCTGAGAACAAGGCTTTTCAAAAAGAAACAAGGAAAGAAAGAAGGAAAGAAAAAGGACAGCATTCTACCAGGGAAAAAGGACCAGAAAATAGGGATTGTGCCTGGAAAATCGGAACAGCTGGAGCATGTGCATGCAGCTGTATTTGCTAAACATAACTCACAATTATCTTTAAAAACCTATTCTACACTTAGGGCATACAGTAGTCCTGTCCTCAAGGCAGAGGTTTTCAACCTTTTTGAGTCCATGGCTCCCTTGACCAAGTACATTCTTTCTTCGGCACCCCTGTGGGGCTCAGGAGTCCAGTTATGTCACCACCTGCCTGCAGAGCTGGCAGCCTCTCACACTTTTTCAAACACCCTCCCTTGTGGAGTGTTCCCTCAGCCTCCCCCCACCCTCTCCTTGGGAGTACTCTGGGCAGCTGCCCCTGGTCTCTGAGCTGCCCCCTTCCCGCCCCAAAGGGAGGTACAGTGGTACCTCTGGTTACGAACGTTTCAGGTTACGAGTTCCAAGCTCCGCTAACCTGGAAGTAGCTGCTTCTGGTTGCAAACTTTGCCCCAGGATGCGAATGGGAATTGTGCGCAGCGGGAGGCCCCATTAACAAAAGCACACCTCAGGATAAGAACGGTTTCACTGTACCCCCTCAGACTGTCCCGCAGGGGCCTGGGAAGCACATCTTGGACAGCCCCAGAGGCACCATGGGGAGCTTGTAGCCAGGGCTGCTGCAACAAACAGCTGTGCAAGCCTTTGGGAGGCAGAGAGGTGAGAAGGCATCAGAGGAGGAAGGGAAGCATCCCAGGGTGTCACGGCACACTGGTTGAAAACCACTTGCCTTAAAGTGTTGTTATTAATTAGTATACCACCCTATACCTTCAGGTATGCTGGCTGAAGACCATAGCAATGGGGAGGCAGTTGTGTGCTGCCAGATGCTGCTGGAACCCGTTTCCCATTGCCAGGGGCTTTGGGATGCTTTGCGGGTAGCAATTCATGAAATAAATAGTAACAATAACAACGGTCTTAAGTCTATGAAAGCTTATGCACGAATAAATTTGTTAAGAGGTCACAAGGTTCTATAGTTTTTGCTGCAAATGACTGGCGCAGCTATCCCCCTGGAAATGGTTTGATTTTGTGGATTTGTTATTTTTGTTAATCTTTTAATTTGATACTGATTCTGTGCCAAGTTTGCATTAAAGCGGAAGGGTATGAATAGACAAACACGTGGACTAGAAACTTGTTCCTGAGTTTCATGCAAGGAGACCTTCACCCGCACCACAGCCCTCGCTCCTTCGCATCACCAGCCAAGACAAACGCTCCCCCGCTCAGCAGCGCGCGCACAACCAAGTCAAGCCACACCCCCTCTTTCCCCTCGCCTGGGTTTAGTCGGGGAGTCTCCCCACTACAGTCACGCCCCCTCTTTCCCCTAAAACACGCCCACCCTGCTCTGGCCACACCCACGTCCATAGGATCATAAGGTGCTCCTCTATCGTCAGAGTCCCGCCTCTTTGCCGCCGGGGGCGGGTTGATGTCCTAAGCCACGCCTCCTTCACCGCACAGGCCCCGCCCTGGCACCCGACAAATATTATTAGGCGGCGTCTTCCCAACCTTCATCCGTCGCTGTTTGTTTCCTCGCTTGCTCCCTGCACCCCTCCCGGCGGTCTGCCACGCCCCTTTCGCGGCTCAATCCCCGCCCCTTAGTATAAATAGGCGGCGTCTCTCGAAACGGCTCCTCAGTCGCGGTCCCGCCTTGTTCGACGGCGCTGAAGCCCAGGAGGCAGGGAGAGAGAGAGAGAGAGAAAGAGCGGAATCCGCGGGGCGCTCCCTCCCTCCCTCGCAGTCGCCGGCGCGCTCGCACAAGCCGTGAGGGGGAGCCAGACGGGCAGGCGAGCGAAGGACCGGCCGAGTGAGTGAGTGAGTGAGTGAAGGGAGGAGTTTTCTCGCTTGCTCGCAGGGCGTCGCCGCCGGTCAGTCTCCACGCAGAGCGGGTGGCCGAGCGAAGAGGACAGAGCATGGCGCTCTCGGTGCCGGTCAACGGGGTGAAGGAAGAGGGCGACAAGCAGCCTCTCATCGAGCTCTTCGTCAAGGTAAAAGGTGCTCCTTGGGGGTGGTGTGCTTCCCTCCTCCCCCCAGCCTTTATTAAGCAGCGCCCCCCCCCTCGGGTAGTGTGTGGTTCATCCCTGCTCCTTATTGAGGTAGTCGACTTGACTCGCCTTACTCCACATCGCCATGGTATTTCTCATGCACGCTCCTGGGTCCACTCTATTATAATCCCGGGGGGCTCTCAAAGCGGCTTACAAAACACTATGGCAGTAGAAGCCGCATGCAAATTTGGTGCCTGGGAACAGAAATAGCGCGAGGTGCCTCGGATGTGTCATTTCTTGCTCTCATCCTTGGTCTTAACCTTCAGCTTCTACATACTCGGCGAAAGAGCCCGTTGAAGATCTCTAAGGCAAGGGAGTGGGGGCTGAGCAGCTGGCTTATAGTCCATGGTGGGGGCCGCTCCCTCTCTTTTCCTCGTTGAGGGAGTCGACTTTGCTTTCTGCAATACCCCACAGCAGTTCTCAATCTCAGCATTTCCCTATGGCGTTCCCTCTCCAGGAGAGGCTGTGTCCAGAGCTGGAGTTTGGGGAGGGGCAGTCTGGTTCTGTGCGTGGGTATTTGGAAATAATTCCCAGTGAACTCAGCGGGACTTAACTTCCAAGGAAGTGTTCCGTGGGTTGAGTATAAGACAAGGAAATTGTGGAAGCAGCAAAACAATGTGTGTTGTATGGACAGATTCTCCTCGCCCTTCCACACAGTCATCTCTTCATTTCTGTGCCTTTAAACCTGTTGGCTAGATACTGTACAGATTATTCCATACTTTATTATAGAAATGAAGACTAGAACTTTATAAATAGCATGGGTACTGATCAGCCTGACACTGACTTCTCATATCCCTCTTTCTCTGTGGGTTCTGCTGCACATTCTTCATAAAAATACAATTCTGTCGTGCAATTTGTCAGTTTGGTGATGGGGTCGGAAAGCTTTTCCCCTGCAGGTCTTTTGATTTTGTGACATGCGCCCTTCCATCCCAACATTCCTCAGCTAATCCTTAGTTGTCTTCCAGTCTAACCCATATATCCCCTGAAGGTTGTCTATACAGTGGTACCTCTGGTTATGTACTTAATTCGTTCTGGAGGTCCGTTCTTAACCTGAAACTGTTCTTAACCTGAAGCACCACTTTAGCTAATGGAGCCTCCTGCCGCCACCGCTGCGCGATTTCTGTTCTCATCCTGAAGCAAAGTTCTTAACCCGAGGTAATATTTCTGGGTTAGTGGAGTCTGTAACCTGAAGTATATGTAACCTGAAGCGTATGTAACCCAAGGTACCACTGTACTTGGTTTGTATATTCAGTCCTCTTTCCTTGTTTGATTTTGGGCATCCTTCACATCATACATGATCTCCAATGTGAAGATTCTATTGTCTTGTTAGCTTTTTCACAGAGGGAGGTCCCCCCGCCCCTGCAGCTAGCCTGTCCAGGCACTTCTCTACCTACCTCTTTTCAAAGATTCTGTAGCTGTAGACTTAGGAACCAGCTAAATCACATATGTCATAATATGCAAACGACTTCTTCCAATTTTTATGATGTGTTGATCACTATGTGCAGTATTCTGAAAGAGACTCCTGTTTTGCAAAGTTAAGTTATAGATGCAAATCTTCCTTCTTTCCATTCAGTTTCACTCTTCTGTTTCCTGTTCATTTCCCTATAACAAGTTAATAGTGGACATCATTTCAGAGAGGATAAAGACTTGGTTCCATAAATAAAAACATAAACATTTCTGGTTTCCAGTAGGGTCGAGAGTACATCAAATGATATATAAAAATGGCCTTTGGGGAGTGTGCTTTGGTCTCAACCTTGCCTTGTTCGGTTTTACCACATACTCTGGCCTTAACATTTACTAAAACTTTTTTATTATGAGAAGTGTATTTTTCAAAGCAAGAGCTGTTTCCAAGTGCTCCAGTAATAAAATCTTCCTGTTTTCTGCATTCTTCCCTGCTTCTGTAATACTCATTCTTAGCTCCCTCTCACTCAGAGCAGAAGTCTTGGGCTGGGAATAAGAGGTGGCAACTTGACTGAATCTGGATGAAGTCTTTTTTTTTTTTTTTGAAATACTACTTCATACAAGCTATGAATAGTCCATTACTCAGTTGCTGTTGGAGATAGTGTAAAAAGTGTTTGCTTGATTTCTTTCTTCTACTTCTGCAATGCTGGTTTTTTTGGGGGGGAATAATAAGGAGCTACATGGGATCATTTTAAAAGGCATGGTTCTTTTTAAATATGAAGACACATATTTTGGAGTTTTGAAAGCTTTTGACTTGTAAACAAGAGCTTTATCGCACAATCTGTTCCACACCCATATTGTCATCGGGAATGTACCAGCCCTGAGGAATCCAGGGACTGGAGGATCACATCTTTTACATCCCTTCTATTGTGGAAAAGTGATAATGTATTGAAAACAGGAATATCCTCTCATTAGCCTTCTTTAACTACATGTCTAGGCTCGTCTCATGACTTTTCAGGGGCTGGGCAATGATTTTTAAAATTTGAATAGAACGTTGTGAAAGCAGCTTTGATCATACTAGCTATGAGAAGAGTCAGCTGGAGGAATGAGTGTTCTCATAACTTCCAATAAGCTATGAATTGTTTGAATCTTCTGTCACACATTACCTGGACTGGCCCATATAAGAATTTGGCAATGACTGTATTCGGATTGATGCAAATCTTAGCTTAAGGTTGGAAATGCATGAGTTTAATGCAGCTGCTTTACTTTTCTCTCTTGCATGAGTGTGGAAACAAGCCAAGAATTCAGTTGACCACAGCTTCCTGGTGCATCTGAACTAGTAACCATGGTTTATAGCTTCCAAACAGGACAGAAAAAGAAGCCATGGTTTAAAGTTGGCTTCCATATTTTGGATTGTTGGAAGCCATTGTCCATAGTTCCTGGTTCAGATACATCAGGAAGCTATGGTTAATAGAGGCCTCCTGGTTTCCTTACTTGCATAAGGAGGAGCAAATGGCTATGTCTGGATGCTATGTCTGAACCCAATAGTCATTACATCAGGCTGTAGCAGAGGAGGGAGGAGAAGCGAGTCAGGGCCACTACATCAGTGCAGCTGAGAGACCAGCAGCTTCTGGCACCTGTGTCTCATCTCCTTGAATTAACAAACAGCTGGTCATTAGAACAACTTGTAACTAAGAACATGAAAACAAGCAAATTCAGGTTTCATCCTCCTAATCCATTTTCTCTTTGTGTTGATCATTTCAAGCTTGAATACCAGGTTTATAAGCTGCTCTGCTAGCCTCTGGCTGAAGAGTAGTATAAAACATTTCTGAAATAAATAAAATTTGTGCATATCTTTGTTTATTAAGCTGAGACATGATTGTTCAAATGTAGCCACTCGAGTGTTCAAAGGAAATTGTTACAAGTGTTCTAAGCCAAGTTCAAGAGCAGCTTAATTATACATGTATACAATGCATGGATTGAACCTATCCTAAGCAAACAGTTTATTTCATTGGGAATCTGTACTAATACCTATGTTTAAATGCCTGTATCAGTGTGATCGGCACACAAAGAACAGCAGCAGCCAGGCTTAAACTCGGGAATGAACACATTAAGTAAACCTTGAACAGAATTTATAAAAAGCTGGTCTACAAACCAGCTAGATTTTTTTAGTGGATTATATCTCTAGGGGACCAAAACAGATGGAAGTTGCTAGTTTCCAACAAAGTGGTTAAGCATAATCATTGCAATTTCTGTAGTGCCTGTGAAAGAAAAATATTTACACTGGTGCTGCTACAATTCATGGCCTCTTCCCGCTCTAAACCATGTTTGCAAAGCAAACTAGATGCATAGTTGAAATGCAGCATTGCTTATAGCACTTACGTTGGTGGTCTGCGGTAATTAATAACCTAAGTTTGTGCCTTCAGTCAGTGCCTCTGGTCTGCCTGAAGTCCATGTTAACTTGCAGTGCAAATATTTGCATCTTAGTGCTGATTAAACAGAAGCAGTTAATAGATTTCATTCCCTAAGAGCTTCCTAGCAAAAGCCCATGTATAATTGATAAAGCAGAGTTGCTTCCAATGTCTAGCAGGGATATTTAAAACACCTAAATAGAACCTTGTAGAATTAAAGGCTTGCATATAATGAATATGCGGCAAATATTTTCCTGTAGCCTGTAGAATGTTGCTGATAAGCTAAATTCCAGTATTGCCCTTAATAGGCACTGTGCAGCCTGGATGGCTATTGTCTATATTACAACCTTGTGAAGGTGGATTGGATGGATCATTCTCTAGTCCAGGATAATACCAAAGGGTCTAATAAGTTTTTGACTGAACAGATTTAAGTGCAAGTCCAAATCACTGTTCACCACATAAAACAAGATACAAGAGAGCAATCCTGGGCCCTTCAATAGGCAGGCAGCACAAAAATCTCTGGGTTACCCAGGCCTGGTATAAATGCAGGAACCTCTGCCTGCTACTGTTCAGGTTCCACCTTTCACATTTGTGAGCTGAAGAGCCTACTCCCCTAGTTAAAATTTGAGTATGGCCACTCATGGCCCTGGGCTTGATTCTTCTCGCTCCCAAATATGTGACAACCTGCTTGTGTTTCCTAACCATTTCTCAGTCAGGTAAAGTATTTTTTTTACAAGATTATGCTTTAGTGAGAGAGCTGCACCTGGCATGAGGACGGTGCCTAATGGGATTATTTTGATGGCAAGCCAGACCTCTTGATAAGATTATTTTCTGACAGCAATGCTAGAAATGAAAACACACTGCTTATTTCCTCTCTTGGTGTTTCTTCCATTATTCTGGGATTTATTGCTATAACAAATGCAATTGGTAATATATTGGAGAATATATTGTTATGTTGAAGTTCAAAAGAAGATACAATTTATGAAGGATTTGGACCACATTGGGCACAGCTGCAAGTAGCTGGCTAGGTCAAGTGCCATTATCCAGACAAGGGGAGAAAATACAGCTCTGTTCTGTCAGTCATGCAGGTAAACTTGGTTGGTGTCATCTGGTATTTGGTATTGACATTTCAGCCACACATCAGTATCAGCAGAAACTGTAGGAAAGAACCCAACTTCTCACATACGTCCCAGACATTCATGAAGGCAAGGTGGGCAAAGGTGCTGCTCTGTTTTGAAGGAATGTCCAGAGTGCCATATGTGATGCTTGTACAAATGTCAGTGGCAGGATTTGTCTATTCGCTCCTGCATAATTTTTTAATTTTTGGTGGGCATCCCAGATGTGGGCAATTTCTGCAAAGTCACTCATGAGTAGTTCCATTGAGTTCAGTAAGTCTTAACATACACCTGGGCTATGTAGAAAGGTCTCCTGAATGATTTGCACACGTCTATATGCATATAACTTACTTCTGAAGTATGCAGCCGATAGTACATTATGTTTGCACCAAGCTTCTACAACTGTGATCTTTTTCTGACTGTGTAGATCTTGGCATAAGCACTATTGGCCAAGGTTGGCTTATGCTCTTGCTTTGTCTTGCAGCTGCCAAGGAAAGGGTAAGTTTTGCCAGTGAGTATACATTAGAAGTGGCAGCAAACACAGTTTGGGCAGGCTGGAAACTTACTTGGCTGTTCATCTTATGTGAATTGATGAAAAGTGGAACACTTGTATAAACTGGCTGGCTCTTCTTTGAAAAGTGAGCAGGAGAGCCCATGGCACCAGCTAATCTTTCAGTGGGCAGCTTGAGACAGTATTGGTATACTAGTCATAGTTGAGAAGGTACTGTCACCTGAAGTGCCTCAAGTTCCAGGTCAGGTCTTCTGGAGGAGGGAGCCAGGCTTTTAAGGTCTGGCTTGGAATTTTTTCACCTTTTGACATCCATTCCTGACATTGATGGAGGAAAAGCCTATTACACTTTGTTCACCTGCAGCATCTAAATTAGTCATGACAAGCTATTCGTTGTCTGAGTGTCTTCAGCGAACAAGGCTTGGATTTGTGAGGCTCTCTGGTTGCACTTGTTTGGTGTTTATAAAGCAATACATCTAGTTGCTGTAGTTGTCATAGTGAAGTTACCATACAGGAGGTGACTGGAAACAGAATAACATGGCTTGTCCTTATCTCCATAACCCAGTCCTTGCAGAAACTTCAAGTACCAGATCTTGTATAAAGCATGTAAATGTTTGAGAAGAATGCTTATTCACAATGGCTTGCATTTTGAGTGCTAAGCTGTAGTTTCCTTTGTGAAGAACCTGGTTTTAAATTATAGAACCTTATAAGTTATAAGCACGTGGTGTCTTATTTCCAGTTTATCTGAAAGTTGACTTGTAGCTTACGTCTTTCAGTACTCTTGTGTAAGAATTTCTATTTGCAGAGTAGCTGTGTCTAGTCTCTTGCAGGAAAAAAGAACAACGACTTGTGGCACGTTTAAAGACTTAAGCGTTAGAACCCACACTGTCCAGACATCAGTGGAACAGGCTTCTTCCTACACATTAGAACTTCCCCACCCTGTCTTTCCTTGGTGGGCCACCCAAATTCTTCTTGAAGAGTTGGAGGATCCTCTAGAATAGATTTGGATTGAGGAAAGGAAGAGGAAATTTCAGTGTATGGGGGAAAGTTCCCTCACATAGTTTTGGATACTGTCCCAAGACATTTAATCCATAAACATTTATGCTACAATAAATTTGTTCCTCTTCGTTTTGGTGCAATAATTTCAGGTGCTTGTGAAACCTTTTAGTTGCCCTAGTTAGTTCTTGCCAGCCTGAAAATGCAAAAAATGACTAAGTTTACTCAAATCAGCCATAAAACTAAGTTTCCTTTAGATAGTAGGTTTTTGGGTTTTTTTTGATAGTAGGTTTTTTGGTGTTTTTATGTGTGATCTGTTTGATATGAGCTGACAGTAGTACTTCAGCAAGTTCAGAGAGCTTGTGAAGCTGCGAGGAGTTGCTTTGCTCCTGGTATATCCTGCTTTAGTGTTCCTATTTATAGTAGCTTTGTTAATGCAACTGAGGACTCTGTCATAAGCAATTGTTTTTACAGGGCTTTGAAGATGAAGACAATGTTTTCATAGAAAGGGTTAGTTTAACTTTTGTTTGCAGTGCAAATATACTAGACTTGTGCAAATATATTAGTAAAACAATACAAATGAACAGTATTTAGGTGTATGTCATTAACATATATAACCAGTATAGTTTTGATGAGAGCTGACCTACAGCGGTTTGTTTATATCTGGTTTCACAAAATACGTGCCCTGAAGCAGCTTAATAATGATACAAAATCATGCAGTATCAAATAAAAACTAGACTGCAGCATAAGACAAACTCCAGTAGCAAATGAAAACAATTGCTTACATTTCCATCAAGGAGGGAAAGCCATCTTTAAAAGGAAACCCTGAACCAGGAATGAGGAACCTGCAGCCCTCCAGATGTTACAGCACTCTAATTCCCAACAGTCCCAGGCAGCACAGCCAGTGGTCAGGAATGATAGGAGCTATGATCCAATAATATCTGGAGGGCCACAGGTTCACCACCCCTAGTTTTAAGCCATCTCTCCCAATGCATGTAAAGAGCTAGCAAGCTTCGGTAAGGAGTCCAGGGCTGTCATGAAGAAGGCCTTAGATTGAGTAGCCCATAGTGGGGCCTCTGTCAAATCTCAGTGCACAGTAGGGTGCATATAGGAGGATATATCATTTGCTGTATTCATAGTAAGGAGGACTGCAATGGGTTTTAAAGATCAAAGACAGCACTTTGACTTGCCTGGAAACATAGTGGTGTTCTCTCCCATTGAAACCAAAGGAGCTTAAGTGATTAACTTTGGCTGGGTCATGCCCTTACATTACTATGTCAAAATGTCTTGTGAAACTAAATAAACCTTTACACTTTCTGATATGTGCTTAACTTATGAGGTTAGAACAGATGCATTTTGATGGCATTTTATTATATTCAGTCTTCGTGTTTGTATTTAAATTTTCAAGCTTCTCTTAATTGAGGGCTAGAGAACATGAACTTTAAGAGCCCTGTGCGCTACACAGAAATGCAGAGAGGGTGTGTTTGGATTCTGACGGTGCATTTTGACTATTGTTGTTCCCCAGTCGAATGCCCTGCTCAACCAAAGAGTAACTAGTGAAAACAGCATTACTTCTCATGACTGCAGGCAGTTGGAGCCTAGGGAAAACAAACTTCCTAAGTCAGTGACTTAATTATAATATGTCGTCCAAGTAGACAGTTCTGTTTTTATTGTGGAGCTGCCTCTGTTCAACTGCTGACCTGGAAATGAGTTTCTTAACCGTATGATTGCCCAGGAGAACTTTTTAGTAGTCTCATTAATTGATTGTAAGAAATTGGACATTGAGTTTCCAATTTCAACCCTAAGCATAAATCAGACTCACAGTTAATTACAACTTTCTGCAGTTCTTCTCCCTAAAGTCATCATTTAATCTTTCCATTGTTGGCTAAACAAAGGGTGAGGAGGTTTCTTTACTCGGAGAAAGGAAGTAGTGGTATGTCCTGGACTTGACATCCATATTAGGCATAAACTAAATATAGGAGTAGAACTCAGGAGTGAAGTCACATCTGTGAATTTTCAAGACTGCATGAGATCAGCCACTGTTGTTGGATGGCCTTCTGCCTCTTTCCTCTCCTACTTGAATGTTTTTCTCTTGCCATTAATGTCCACTAGTTTGTTGCATACTTTGTGGGTTTATTTTAAATAAACAAAAGTAGTTTAAAATACTGAATTCTGCTAAAAATAAAGCTGAGCCAAACATGGCTTTAAAATGTCTAGAACACTTTTCACTGTGCAAAGCTTTACAGTTGTGAAGCTAAATAGGTCAGGTTGATATACTGTCTTGCCAAAGGCCACCCAATGAACCTTGTCACTTTGTTGATTTAAGTTTGGGAGTCCTGTGCTGCTGTGTACTGTTAGCTATTTTTCTGGTGCAAGAGAAGTGTCTTTAGAGGCAGAAGTCTTTACCTTCCTTAGCAAAAATCTGACTGTATTCTTTTAGCTTCTAAGGGAAATGGTATGCAGGTTTTTTCTATATATAAAAAACATGAATACACTCATGCTCCTTTTCAAAAGTACTGTTGACATTCAGATGGGTGCTACTGATAGGTGTTTGTAGCAGTTGCACCAATATATGGGCACATCTGTTGCTGCAGTGCTGGTTAATACATCTGCATTTTCTTAGTTTTTCTAAAGTAGTGCTTTGACATATTGAACTGTTCTGACTAGGCACTGTATCCTAGGTGCAGAACGCACAGTGCATATGAATACTTGAGGCTGTGATGGTTCAAGAGAACTGCCTTTGGGTATCTCAGAATATTTTTTCTGTACAGAACTTTGCATCTAAACTAATTCATGAAAGGTATACCATACTACAGTGGTACCTCAGGTTATATACGCTTCAGGTTACATATGCTTCAGGTTACAGACTCCGCTAACCCAGAAATAGTGCTTCAGGTTAAGAACTTTGCTTCAGGATGAGAACAGAAATCGTGCTCCGGCGGCGCGGCGGCAGCAGGAGGCCCCATTAGCTAAAGTGGTGCTTCAGGTTAAGAACAGTTTCAGGTTAAGAACGGACCTCCGGAACGAATTAAGTACTTAACCCGAGGTACTACTGTATTCTGTATTAGGTAAAACACATGAAATAACTAAAACTCAGTGCCTTAAATGTTTTAAGACTACATTTTACTTGTCTTTTTTCCTACCACCCGTATTGATTCCAGGGATAGCATACTACTCACAAAAGAATTAAATACAATAGGCAGACATCAGTAAAATGATAATTAAAAGTGTTACGCTGAAACTGAGTTCAGATTTTCTCTGCCAGTTTCTCCCTAGACAGCTGCTGGATGAAATCCTTTATTTTTATAGCTCATCCCTCCAAAGTCATGGGAAGGGTTTCTGTTATCTGGTAGAAGTCACTTTCTTAAGTTGCTAATTTTAATTTAGCTCTGATTTTTGTCCTGTCTTCACCAAGGGTGAACTAAGGATAACATGCTGGACCTAATAACAACCAGTTTGTCTTTAAAGGTTCAAACTAGATACTGTAATGGCATTATGTTACTGCCAGTTTTATTTTCAATTCTTTTCCTAATGATCTCTAGCATGGAATTTGCCTTTTTCACAACTGCCACACACTGGGTTGACATCTTCATGAAGATGTCTACTTAAAACATAAAAGACTCCTGTTGAAACTAATTTTCAGTCTAAAGTTGGTTTTAGTTGAAATTCTGTATACCCACATACTTACATTTTCATGAGTTTGCAGTAAATTAATAATGTATTGTCATGTCTAGCTTTGGCCTAAGCAAATGACTCTCCCAAGAGCCGTAAACCAGATTGATCTGCTTATAGGTTCCGTATTCTAAATTATTCTTTGTTCATATAAAAAGCATTCTAAATTATTCTTTGTTCATATAAAAAGATTGTAGAAGACCTTCACAAAAGATGTTCTGATATTAAGAAAGCTACAAGGCTGTATGAATAATTGGCTGTATTAATAATTTCCCCTCCCCAATGCCCAGTGGTTCAGAGTAGTGGGAGGGAATTTTCCTTCTCTTCCAATATGTAATTGTAAGCTTCTCTTGCATTTGCAGTGAGTCCTTGGAGGGGAAGGGGTTGTGCTACTGCCAAAGCACATACTGTACTGTGCTAACTAGCTCCAAGGAGCAAAGTTCTTGGACAATAGCTCTTCAGAGCCCTTGGTAATGTGTAACATTGAATCCAAAGTAGCTCTTAAATATAAAGCAAATTTGACAGCAGACAACCATTTTGGCAATTTCATAATCTTTCCACTTGGAACACTGCAGTGTTTGAATTTGAGCTTGGTAACATAAAAGGAGTCTAGACAACTGTTTCATTATACTGCAGAAATGTAGCTCTTCATGGCAGTCAAAAGCCAGATATACTCTGAGGCACTGTGGGACTTCTGCAATGGTGGTAGACTGTGCTGTTGCCATTTAGGTAGGATTATGGAGCGTTGATACTCATAACCACCTTGTGAGCTACTTTAGACGTGAAAGGTATTTGCTCAAGGCCATTCAGTAAGCTTCAAGGCTGAGCTGGGAATATGAGCTCAGTTCCCCACCAACAAATGAGACTCTGGGTACATTCTGGATGGATATACCTAGGATGATGCTTACTAGAAGCATTTTTATATCACTTAGTGAAAAATGGTTTCCAGAGTGCCCCACAAAGAGAAACTATAAAACATTCCCTGCTCTCAGACTTGCATCCATGATGCAGAAGGAAAAGGGATTGTGAGGGAGGAGGGAAAAAGCAAGCTTAGGCACTTGTTAGTTAAAGCTCTAGTAAGGACTAGGTGGAATGTAAACAGTTCAAAGGAGAGGAAGAGCCAGAAGTTGCTGGGGTCTCAGCAGAGCTGATGGTTGTAGTAACCACCCCTGCAAATTACTGCATCATACCTATTATCTAGTGTATTTAGTAAACATTGTTAACCTGTTCTGTCAATAAAGCTTTGGGGCTTCTATGAAGTGGTGTTCAGTGTTAAACTACTTATTATCTAGCCTCTGCATAGCACTTCAGATGTTATCAAAGTGAAGTTTTAGAAGTGTTACTGTAGAATTTAGATTGTAATATTGTAGGTATACTCCCCCTAGCTCCCTTTTGATACAGGATATCAGACAAAACTGAGCCCAAACACCAATTGAAATGGATCTAAAAAACCCAGTTTCATCTCAGAGTGTGTGGAGATGGCTTGAACCCACCCACCCAATAACCTTTCCCAGGAAAGGGACATTAGTGACTGGTATGATTGTCAGATATTCCAGATCCATGGAGGATTTCTTAAGGAGAAGTCTTCCCACTGCCTCTTTCAGTGTCCTTCAATGTGGCATTAATAATCTCTCTGGCCCAACTGTTTATTCCCTTCCTGCTTAATTTTACCAGTCATGAGGGCAAAAGGCAAGAATGCAAGGGGTTTCCTGCATGTATTCGGGTACCTTGTTGATATCCTTAATATGTACTAGCTGAAACTAATTTAACAATACTGGATCAGAAAGTACTTTCTTGTTGATGGCTGTACTATTCATGGTTTTGCTTCCTTAGGTTAATTTATTCTCCTAAGTTGCTTTGAGACTTGTTTGGGGTAGAAAGTGATGGATTATGTAATAATATAAATTTATTTTACATACCTTTGTTTTTAGAGAAATTCAGAGCAGCAGTGGCTCATAAAAGAGGGTGCGGCAGTACTGCATTTGAGTTGTGGTTGAAGCAAGGTGAGGTCAGAGGGCCTCAGGGTTGGCACCTGTGCTGGGAGGATGCAATAAGCCTCCTTCATGAGCCACGAGCAAGCTTTTCTTTTTTTTTTTTTAATAGCTGATCTTCTCTTGAGACATAATGCCAGATGTTGAAGCATCTCTGTCCAGGAAGGCTCTTGTTGGTTTTTGAAGGGCTGTTAGTTGTGCACTGTAGGAGAGCTAGCTGTCTTTCCTAAAGAGTGTTTCCATTGCATTTAATATTTTCTCCCAGTAATTGTATTTCTGTCATGAAAGTACACTCCATACAAGAAGTCTAGGGCAGCCGCGAGTGCTCATCAGAATCTTCCACCAACGTAATGAGTTTAAATAAAGATAATATGGTGCAAAATATCTCAGCAGTTTTGTATATTTCCCTCTACCAAGAATACAAGCAGATATTCCTGCTTGGCAGGAATAATATTCCTGCTTGGCAGGAATAATATGGTGCAAAATATCTCAGCAGTTTTGTATATTTCCCTCTACCAAGAATACAAGCAGATATTTCCTGCTTGGCAGGGGGTTGGACTCGATGGCCCTTGTGGTCTCTTCCAACTCTGATTCTATGATTCTATAGCCTCACCCCCCCGCCCCCGGACTGGAAATGCAAGCTTGATATAGCGTAATAGTTTTGAGAGCAGTATCACACAGCAGGCAGTGAATGACTACTTCCTGCAAATGTTATTTTAATAGATACCCCTTCTATCTGAAATGTGTGCCATAAACATATAGCTGATTGTGTATACACCAAATATATATTTTTAAAAAGCTAAAGGAGAAACTGGGGCTCAGTTCTTTCATGTAGATGCATGTAACATTACCCAATAGCTCTTTTTAAAACAGGAAAAGCCACTTCCAGAGGAGTGGCAGGAGGAGGGTTTGCTTTCTTTGTCCTCTTTCCTCCCATCCCCATTCCAAATGTCACTTCTCATCCCCTGTGGCTTTTTGAAAATGTGGGTCCCAATTGCCTTTTCATGTTGCTGTTCTTTTTAAAGGGTTGTTTGTGTGCCTGTGTGCAGTGTCTACTTGGGTCTTGATACACAGGTTGATTTGGCCAAGCAGTATGTTGGATGTATATTATTGTGTGTCTATTGCTGTACTGGATCCTGTCAATGTTGTAAGTTCTCTTTTCATAATGTGGATAAATGGTAACTCTCCAGTGAGATGGATTTGCACAGAGCTGAACCTTGGCAGGCAATCTTTCTGATGTTGTAAAGTATCCATGCAGCTTGCCATCTGTTTTGCTATAAGGGCTTGGACCTCTGTTCTTCTAACCTTCAGCTTCCATCTTTCACATTTCAGCAGAGTTCTTGGATGCTTTCAGGAGTATTGACCTCATTTGTCATGAACTTGCACTTTTGTCCTTTTAAAGGGTCTGTTGACTCTTTGACTGTTTGGAAGAAATGAGATAGATGGAAGCAATTAGTCTCTTGAAAGCTTGGTGTGACACACTGGCTGCAGAACTGAATAGTGGAACTTGGCACCATCAATAAGTTTTGAGAATCTAAAAATCCATGGTATGAACAAGTGGCAAGAAGTGCATACTAATGATCAAGAATAGGCGTAGGATTGAAACTTAATAGACCAAAGTTGCTGCAGTCTTGTCTAGTGAATTTTACTGCTGTTTATTTGTATTTGACTATAGGGCATGACTAAAGCAACTGAGCAAATGGGCTCTCTGCTCCACTACCTCATTTGCTTTCACAGTAAGAGGAAAATCTCTTCCATTGCTCTGTGGTGATAATAATTTGTAAAAGTTAAAGAGAAGATGCACCAGTCAAAGAGTAAAAAGATTTATTGTACTTCATGAATTATCAGGCATGTACATGAAACATGCATTACTTTATTACCTGCTTTAAAGCAGGAGCAGAGGGCTGCATGAGACCATCCCCTGGATAAATTGCAGTGTTTCTACCTTATATGGTTGGTGCTCTGTTTGAAACCCTTGATCCCTTTGTGGGATGTGGAGATTATCTTGGCCACAGGCACAACCACGCATTGGCATCCTGTTCTACTGAATAGAGCCTAACTGGCTCCCTGTTTTGCCAGTATTGCTTGTTTCCAGTGATTGTGTGACTGGAAGACAGATTGCGCAACCCCTTTTTCTCATTCCCTGCACCCCCAAAAAGCCTCTCCAGGACTGTGTTGCACGGGCTCCTGAAACTGGGTGGAATAAACCTGTGCAAGCTTTAGTCTAAGTCACAGTGCCATGATTTGATGCCACCAGTTAGGAGACATAAAACATAAAATCTAGCACTGGCTTTGCTAACCATATGTCCTGATCGGTTGGTTGCTGAATAGAAAATATTAAAATTGCCAGAGTATCTTCTTCAGTGTGGGTGAGACGCAGTACTTGAGAAATACTTTCCACCCTTTTGTCAAATGCCTTGGCACGATTACCCTGCCTTATCAGAAATGCTAAACATTTTATTCTTGTTAAGGCATCATTTCATGGCATTCACATTCTTGGTGAGCTAGCATTTGGAATTGAGGTGGGTTTTTGATTAGGAAATTCAGGAAATTTCTTCCTGGGTTGAACGATTTTTCCCTGTGATTCTATTTTGTCTCCTTGATGAAGTTGGGAATGCAGAAGAGTTTCTAGGGTAGGGTTTAACTCATCAAGTTAACTGAGCTTTGCTGTTTTGTACAATGTAGAATCTTTGAGCTTTCATCACAGCATAAAAGGCAAGACCCTGGCGCAAGGCGGAGGGACCCTCATGGCAACCTATTTTATTAAATCATCTCTTATTTACAAAAGGTTTAAAATAACTAATAAAGAAAAAACAACATATATGTTGATCTTTAAAATGTAATAACCATAAGAACAGCAGGAAAAAACAGTAAAAGTTCACTAAACTCACTAATATCAGAGACCTTCCAGTGATGGCAGTGTTAATATGCTTGCTACACAGGATTGCTTGTAAAGTTTCATACTTTTTAAAGTCTCACGTTGCACATCTTAAAAGCAAACACCCAGTGTTAGCGAATTCCCCCACCAATACTCAAGGGGTGTAACGTAGGCTGGGAGAAAATGAGCCGTCATAGATGGTGAGGAATTTGAACTTGACAGTTGCATCTAATTCAGTGTTCGTTCTACCCATTCAAAACCTTCAATAACTTTAAAGCCCTATACAGCTCAGGACCATAAGTATGTCAAGGACTGCCTCTCTCCAAGTTGAACCTACTTGGACAGTGTGATCTTTAGCAGAGGAAAATAGAGAAAAAGGATCTATTTGCTTTATCTGTGCATGCCAATAGGAAACAGGCCCCATTGTCTGTGTGCAGTCAAGCCCTGCCCATCAGCTGGCATCAGAGGTGATAGCAGCTGATGGACAGGTTGGCATGGTTGGGTGGAAAATAGCCTCATGAGCCAAATTGGACCCCCTGGCAGGCCAAGGTTGGCCTGTGGGCCACAGGTTCTCTACTTTGATTTAAAACATTTATAGCCCATCCTTTAGCAAAAAAATAATATCTCGGTGACGTTCTTTGCTTGTTCCTGCTTTTAATGGGAGCATCTGGGGTAAAGATTGCCTGCTGCTTTTCATATCACTGACTGCACAGCACATCAGTCTTTGTGCTTTCATAATATTGAGAAGCTTCCATTTCCTGTGCAGGGGGTTCACCATCTAGGACAATATGAATATAAAGTGGGAGAATCAAAATGAGGGTGAGGAAGGTTTTAATGGGAAGTCAATGCAGAAAATATGAGACTGTGTTGGACCCAGAATGCATTGCTGACCCCAGAATGCATTGCTGACCCCTGCTTATTAGCTCCTGCTGCAAACCAATGTGCAGCAAGAACTTCTACTGCTCTAGATTTCCCCCATTGATAGTTCAGTTCTAAAGGGTCACAAGGGTGTCTTAAAAAAATTCCCCAACCCATTGTGGGAGCTATTTTTCCATATGTAGCTCCCCTGTATAACTGGTAGAAAATCTACGTGATCTATCCATTAACATAGGTGGCATCCAGTTGCAGAGGTCTCCCCCACCTCCTGCCGAAGCCACATTTTGCTTGTAGAGATAACATTTTCATTATTATTACTTTACTATTATCAGTGCTTTATTTCAGGGGGTACTCAAAGGTACACAGTACTGGGACCTCTTTTTGTTGTTGTTGTTGTTAAAAAGTGTGGCGCTGATTGTAACAACTTCATGGTGAGTACCAGCACCTCTTCTTCTATTAAGAAAACAACAAGAGATTAATTAATTAAATTTCTATACCACCCTTCATCAAAAGATCTCAGGGCAGTTTATCCTCTTCTGCTCAATGAATTGAACTGGAGTCAAGCACCTGTCACTGTGGTTGCTGCTGAAATCATTTGCTTGGCCTGTGTTGTCTTAGTAACATATGGAACCTCTACTTCTGTACTAAACCATGTGAGGAGGGGGTGGTGAACACGTGGAAGCAGCAGGACTCCCAAGTTTGAACAGAGATTTCCCAGGAAGTCTTCAGATATGCCCCATTTTCTTTTTATTGTCCACAGTAGGAAAGACTTCTGTTTTACTTCTTACTGTTGTGTTTTAAGTGCAATATGAAATGGATAAGGTGACTTTAATGTAAAACTACAGTGAGCTGTATAAATGTGCATAAATACAACCCACTTCATTACTCTGCAAGCATAAAACACTCTGGAAAATGGGACTATTAACATTATTGTCTCAGATCTCTTATAGCTGTCGCACAATTTCTTACAATTATGTAGCTCAAATGGCTCATTGAGTTCTCATTTTTGAACTCCTTTTACTGAAATGTGCAATTGATTCTAACTACTTGAGAACCCCTGAAGACTGCCGAAATTCTCTTTTGGGTGTTCTCAGGCTTCCAAAACTCTGGTTTGTTTTAATTTTTGTTCAAACATACTTTTTAAAAACAGCTAGAATTTTTTTGTTGGCATTTTCTCCCCAGAAACTGATGCTAACAAGCTTTATACCTGCCATGGTTGCAGGTATCCTGCAAAAATGGCTCTTGAATGTAGACAGAATCAGTTTTGAGTGCTGAAGCCAATTTTTTCTTGGCATGCCTGTAACATTCTTCTTATGGTTTGTGCTCAAAGTACACTTGGGGACTACAGATGGGGAAAAGGCTTTCTGAGTTCATAAGAATGCAGTGGCTTCCTGAAGGCTTCATATCTGGAACTAGGTCTGGGTTATATTTTGGATTCAAGCTATTGTTTTGGTGAGAGCTTTCCATATCTTCTAAGACATTAACATTAAAGGAAAATGCTCATTTTAAAGAATTTAGTTAATGGGTAAATAGTGATCAGTGCAGGGCCAATCATAGTCTAACCCTGAACCTGCCTGCCTTTCTCTTCTTTACAAGGGGGCTCTTTGATAATGTGGGGGTTACATACTTAATGTGGGGGATGCATACTTGCAATTCCCAACTTGTGTTGCTTTTTTCATTTCTCTTATTTCCCCCTTTGGCCCTTGGGACTTTCCTTAGGCCCTGCTTTGCATCCTCCTTGAGTGGTTTTGCCTGGCTAGGATGTGTCCTTGAACTCCGATCATGCTTCTTGCTTGTCTGGATAGAGGACAGAGGGGTGTGTGTGTGTGTGTGTGTGTGTGTAGAAATAAAACTAATACTCAAAGGTAAAACTGCTGGGCCCACTTTTGTTTCTGGCTCCACTTGCCATTGACATGTGGTCCCTTGTAGGTTGTCCAGAAGGGAAAGTGGCCCTCAAACTGATGTATGTAGGAGCAATTGTATTGTTATTGGCTGCCTGGACACGCTGCCTGGATGTACGTACTGTGCATACACTGGGGAATAGGAGTTGGGAAATGTGTTTAGATGTCCCATTGCTGGGGGGGGGGGAGGGGACCATAACCAGGGCCTGATTGCTTTGTGCCAAAATGAACTGGGCTATATCTTTTATTATTAATAACTCCATGTTTAATATTTATTTTCTGGCAGTATATTGATGATGGAACTTCTGGAAGAATCTCATTGTAACATAGTGTTAATTAGTATTTAGAATTTTAGCTTGCCCTTTCCAGAATATTCAGGAAAAGTATTCCATCAGTATTGCACTGCGTTAAAACTGTTTTGGGAGAGTGCTTCTTGGAAACTATTTCACTTAACAAGTTTCAGATTCCAGAGATTCTCCAGAATGCTTTACATCTGCAAGCTGTTAGCATTAAAATAACTCCCTCCCTTGTGTCATCCTGGGATACAAAAGTGCTGCTGTTCTTAAAACTACTGATGTAATTGTTTATGGGTAAAGGATATTTTGTCACGATGAAAAATAATGTGTTACGTTTGTGGGTTGTCGGGTGCTGTGTTTGTCACCTGTTCCTTTGCCTTCCCTACCAAAACATTTGTAGTAGTATTCTCTTCAGTTATCCAGCTATACTAGAGATGGTAGTAATTACCGGTAAATTTGGAATGAGGAAACACACTAAATCCAGATTTTGCATTGTTTTGCTTTTTGCCATGTGTCCCAGCACCACCCATGTAGGAACATAGGAAACAGCCTTGTACTATATCAAACCACTGGATCCATTTGAACAGGAAGCCAGTATTTCAGGCAGGGGTCTCTGAGCCAAACCTGGTGGTCTTGGGGATTGAACCTGGGACCTTCACCAAGCAAATGCTCTAGCACTGAGCTATGGCCCTTTTTTCATATTAAATTTTGAAGTTTTGCGTCATTTTATTAGTCCAATTCTAATCTCATCTAGACAATTGGATACACTACAGTTTGCTTTTTAATAAAAGGTTTGCTAACCAATGGCTCATTAAAGCAGCTCTGTATGGATTTAATAAACTTCGTGTTCCCTTAGGAATGTAGTAGCAGCCCTTTTCCCAACGTTGATCAAGAAGTACAAGGTAGTTCCTGAGAAGCAATTCGTTTCTTGGGATATCAGTAGTAATCTTCATAATGCCTTTTAATAAACATGTGAAATACTTTGGATTAAAAATAGAACAGGAGGCATGATGGGTGGATTAAAGGCAGACCTGCTTTCCCAACATGTCACTTCAAGGGGGAAGAGTTAAAATGGAACAAAGACCAGTTGCCAGTTAAGGCCACCTGCTAGAGCAGAGGTGGGCCACCTGTGGTTCTCCAGATGTTGAACTTCAGCTCCCATCTGCTTCAGTCAGCATGGCCAATGGCCAAGGATGATGGGTGTTGTAGTCCAACACCATCTGGGAGGCCATAGGTTGCACACCCATGGGCTAGAATCAGACATAGGCAAACTTGGCCCTCCAGATGTTTTGGGACTACAACTCCCATCATCCCTAGCTAACAGGACCAGTGGTCAGGGATGATGGGAGTTGTAGTCCCAAAACATCTGGAGGACTGAGTTTGCCTATACCTGGGCTAGATGATACTCCAGAGAGATCTCCTTAATCTGGTGAAGCAGGCTAGACAGTTTTGGAGCTTTTTTAAAAAAAGAGAGAGAGAAAGATTGCCACTGAAGTAGCAAGTTTGTTTGTTCTAACTGGAAATCTAGAAAGCATTTTCTAAAGCTTTATGCCTTCCTCCTCTTGACTCACTTTGCTGGGGCATCTAGATTGTCCTCCTGCAATCACTTTATTATTCAGGCACATCTGGTTTGAGCAGCTTATTCATGCTACTTGTCTGGATGGTAGTTTGGAAGTGGTTACTTGGAGCTTATAGCTTTATAGAATAGTGTGTGTCAGTGCATGCAGAGAGCATGGTTTGGACTAGATTTTCATGCCCTTTCCAGCCCTTTGGTTTTGGGAGTTGGAAATCCCTGGGTGTTCTTGGCACAGTCATAGTAATTTTCCAGTCTCTGCCCATTTCTGCTAAATTTGTCAGAGGCCTTCATGTTTCTGTAAGTCTCACTTCCCATTTCTCAGTTGCTGGCTGCTTTTTTGCTTCGGCGAAAGCTATCTTTATACATTGTGGATTTGGACAAATAAGCACATGACTAAAGCAATGAATACCTAAAATATGGCTTCAGATATTTAGACCTATATCACCGGGTACAGAGGCACCACAGCATGGTCTGAAAGAAGTGTGCATGTGTGTGTCAGAGAAGCAAGGGCTACTATGACATGACCCCCCCCCCCCCCAGGTAAGAGTTTCTGGGTCACACAGTTGAGTAGGCTTGCCTTCAGCACAGGTTGTGACCTACTAAGCAAAATGCAGCCCCTCAGACATGTATTGTGGTTTGCATGGTGCTCTGTATACCTGTTTTGCATTCTTAGGCAGGCACCAAACCAGAAGGTGCCTGGAGGCTTTTCTGAGCTGTGTTTAACTTGGTGGGTCACAAGTTTCACCAGTCTTGATATTGATGCATGTAGAAAGCGTTCCGTCTTTGGACTGTCATCTTGGACTGACTTTTCAGTGAGCTAACTAAGGCACACTGGTAGGTGGTGAGCTTTATCAAACTGCTTTATAAATTCTAAAATACTAGTATTACACGCACAGTAATATAGCAGGTTTGGTACAAAAATAACAGAACTGGTAAAAAGGAAAGAGAACTCATCCTCGCTACTTTCCCTCTGCGTTACAAAGGCAATTATGAAAAGACTGCCACATGATATTCCAAGCCCACAGTTTCTCTTAAGATAAGATAAGTTAGTTTTTCTAGAATAGCAATTTGCAAAGCTGCCTAGCGCCATTGATCCACGGTTATATTGGCTGAATCCTTCCCACTTTGTGATACCACTAAACAGGCAGATTCTATTAAATATATCACCAAAGGTTTCAATATTAAATTAGAATTACTATCTAGCAAGCTGCTTATTGAGCTGAAACAGCGCTGATGATAACAGAGGCTTCATTTAATCTTTCAAAGGCGTAAACTTTTTAGTCTCTTCTCTTGGAGGAAATGCTACACAAAGGGCTGATCCCTCCCTCTTTCTCTTGGGATGAAACTACTTGTGATGCAACCTTCTGGTCCTTACCCTATCTACTGAGTCACCTGTTCTAATTATGGGCAGTGATGTGGGATGGAAAATTTTTCAGTGATTTATTTTTCCATTTCATAAGTTCATTCATAACAATGGATGGATGCCAATTGCAAATACAATAGTAGACAAGTCTGGCAGTTTCAAAGTTGTTATTTTGCTTCTTTCTAGAAAAGAAAACTAAGTGTGCGAAATGAGATCAGTCTTGGGGGGGAGGGATGGGGAACTTCCTGAGTGCTGCATTTCCTCATGGGCAATCTTCCATGGGGCCACATACCAGTAGTTGGCATGACCAGAGGCAAAAGTGGGCAGATGGCACACTTTAGTACAGTAGGCTATACTCAATCCATTCTAAAGCCAGTGGTTATCTGACTTCAGGGACACATTCAGTTTAGGCCAAAACACTCAAGGGAGAGGGTGAAGCAGGACCACTGAGGGGTGTGGCCCAGGGAGAGTCCCAAGGGCAATATTTATTTCTAGGCCCGAGGCTTCCTACCCCAACTCTAGGGGACCTTTCTAGGGAAAATTTGTAATTTTCTGATGGAAAACCCCTTTTACTCTATCTAGGCAAGCAATAATTAACCCTGAAACTCATACAGGTGGTACCTAACCCCATGGAAGCTGGCAGTGATCCATTCTGGCACCACCACATTGCTGGAGGCGCTGCCTCACACCTGGTACATATCTCCACATGTGGTGGGAATGTATGAAAATCCAGCCTTTCTGGAATTCGATATTCCAAGAAATTGATAAAACAACAAAGCAACAATTAGAAGCCAAGCCAGAATTAGCTTTATTAAATATAGTTTAAGAAAACAATCTGGATTTATATAATAAAGAATTAATAAGACATTTATTACAAATGGCAAGATACAATATAACCCGACACTGGAAAACCCTTTCTGGTACAATGATAGACATTTGGTACAAAACAGTTTGGAAAACAGCCCTCCATGAGAGATCCACAAATAACCTACAGTTGACACATGGACAGATAAGGAAAAAAATGACTTTACCTTGGTGTTTACCATGGTTTAATTTCATAGCACATGCCAGTATTCCAGAAAATGAACAATCCCCCCACATCAACATTTGGCTCAATCTGGTTGAACTAGATTTAACCCCCCCCGCCCCCCCGGTTCATCAATAGACCAACACTTTGTATTGTGTTGTTGGTAACATAATAGGAAAAGTGGCTTTTACTCATACTTAATCTAAGCACAACCACAAGGGCTTCTGATTAGGTTTTCAGCTGTTCGGTGTTGAATGTTATCTGTTAACTCAGTTCTATCCTGTTCCCCATTTGTTTTTGTTTAAACCAGTAGACGAACAAACATTAACTATTAATATTGAACCATATGCTATGGATATTACTACTAATGTTTATGCTATTTTTGTGATATACAAATAACATGAGAAGCCTTGGTCTTCCATTTGTATCATTTGTTATTCCTATGATCCCTGTTTACAAAATCCAGTGAAAAGTGTTTTTTTTAAAAAAATCCTGATGCAAATTTCCCCATGCAAATTACCTTTAGTTTGCAAATGAATTTTTTTTTCAGTTCAAAACTGTTCTTGAAGCTCACATCACTGCTAATGGGTGACAGAAAATGGATCTGGGCATCTGGTGCACTTGTATTAATGTTTTTTCCTCCTCTTTTCGCAGGCTGGAAGTGATGGTGAAAGCATAGGCAACTGCCCCTTTTCTCAGAGACTCTTCATGATTCTTTGGCTGAAAGGAGTGGTATTTAGTGTAACAACAGTTGACTTGAAAAGGTAGGAAACATGACACTCCCTCACATTTCTACTTTATATCTGGTTATCTTTGAGAGATTTAAGTAATAGGGTCTTCTTTCCTACACAGCAGATTCTAGCTGCTGCTGCTGCTGGGAGATAAATCCTGTGCGATTACTTTCTTGACATCTTGAAGATTTATTAAACCTCTGTATCGGAGAGTTAATATCAGACATAATAACTGAAGCAAGGATATGTTATGTGGAAAATTGGAAGATGTAAACAGTACAGTGGTACCTTGGGTTAAGTGCTTAATTCGTTCCGGTGGTCCGTTCTTGAAATAGCTATCAATTTGCTTACCTTTCGTGACACCCCGAATCAGCTGCCTAATGATTGGCCCAGGTGGTCCAATGAGTAAGATTTGAGCATGTGCTTAAATGTATTCTATCAAAACCCATGGAACCTAAAATTGCTAAAATGTGCCTGGATTGTGCCTTTTTAGCATTCTTCTAACGAAGGATAAACTGACAATTACAGCTGTGTGCACTTGACATTTTTGATCCAAATGTCCAAGGATTAATAATTCTGAAGTGCAAGAACCCTGCCCAATATGGATGTTCTCTGCATTTTTCAGTTGATGTGTGGACCAGATTTTCCAATAGCTGCTATAAATAGGCACAGCAGATCTAAAATACTTAGGCTCCAAATACCTGAAAGACTGCCTCCCTACAGACCTCTTGCCTCCTTGCAGACCCTCTTGGGTGTTCAGATAAGCAGAGAGGCCCCTCTTTGTAGTTCTGCTGTCCTCAGAAGCTTGGGGGTGGCTGCAGGGGCTTTGGAAAGGACTTTTTTGTAACAGCCCCTAGTTGTGGAATTCCTTGCCCACAGAGGTACATTTGGCACCTTCATTATGCAGTTTCCATTGTATGTGGAAGACATACCTCTTTACCCAGACTATATCTATTTATCTATAGCTATTTTATCCATGGGGTCACGAAGAGTTGGACATGACTAAATGACTAAACAACAAAAAATCTATAGCTATATCACTGTTACCCTATTCTAGGGAGTGTAATTTATTTTAAACTGTTTTAAATATTGTACCTTAAATTGTTGTAACCCACCCTGGGGCCTTATGGTGAAGGGCTGGTAATAAACTGAAACAATAATTTGAAATCATTGTACAGTGGTACCTCGGGTTAAGTACTTAATTCATTCCGGAGGTCCATACTTAACCTGAAACTGTTCTTAACCTGAAGCACCACTTTAGCTAATGGGGCCTCCTGCTTTTGCCACGCCGCCGGAGCACGATTTCTGTTCTCATCCTGAAGCAAATTTCTTAATCCGAGGTACTATTTCTGGGTTAGCGGAGTCTGTAAACTGAAGCGTATGTAACCTGAAGCGTATGTAACCCGAGGTACCACTGTACTCCTATTCTCTGAATAACCTGCATGAATAGGTGCTGTCAAAAGCTAATGAATTATATCTCTTCATCTGCACAGCCTCTGTGGCATATCCTTTGTAAAAGGATTTTGTCTTTACACCTCACAGAGCTACAATTCCTAGCAGTCTTAAACTACAGTTCCCAAGATTCTTCTCAACTCAGCTAGTTGAGTGCCTGTTGAAGGGAATGATGACTTGGACTTTAGGAAAATAGCTCAGACTAATGTGGTTGCCTGCCATGTTTGTACTTCTGTGCTCATTTCATTGAATGATATTTTTATTTAAGGCATTTATAACCCACTTAATACTTTTAAAGAAATGTTATCTTAATAAGGTAGCTATTCACAACTTCTCTTCTGCTTGTATTGTATTACAGCTCTGTTAATGAGGTTCCAAACTTATTTTTCTTTTGCTAACGAGATCAGGATTTGGACTTCACATTGTGCTGGGCTCTTCCCGGTACAAAAGTTCACAAGCAAGCAATTGTGGGGCACAGGAAAAACTTAAATCTTGCAAGCTTGTTGTTCTGTGACATGCTTTTTCCTTTGTGCAGTCTTGTTAAATATAGTGCTGCTAACAAGAGGTTATTTCCAGTTAAACTCTGCTAGTAGCTAAGGCCACAAGCAAAAATATGTGTGGACTAAATGGAGACACACTTAGCGCCCCCCCCCAAGTGCTCATAGGTTTTCTGCTTCTCTGTAGTCAGTAAAGACAGAGGCTTCATTCTTTTCCCTCTTCAGGAATGCAGCTTGTGTTTGTGTGCAAGAATTAGACTTCTTTTGTTGGCCAGAGCATAGCTGCAGTGTGCAGAATTTGTTCGAGAATGCAGGGCAAGCTTTTGGCTTTGATTTTTTTTAAAAATTGCTTGAGGACTACTTTCTTTAAAATGAACTGAACCCCCACCTCCAAAACCCTGAGCAAGTACTTGTCAGATGGTGTTCCAGGAAATCCTGGCATTCCCCATAAGTCTGGAAGCTTCTCTGTCAGCAATAACATTCAGGAAAGCATGCATGATAGTTTACTTACACTTTACTATATGTTATTTTCAATGTACATGCTGTATTCTAGGGTGCATTTGGCATGACAGAAGTGCTAAAGTGGAGGCCAACAGGCCTAGCAAGCTGAGAGTGTTCCTTGCAGGATCCCTTTCCAAGTTGCAAGGAGTCTTAGGCAAATAATGAAAGGTTGGTAAACAAAATAGGAACATAAGAGCAGCCCTGCTGGATCAGGCCAGTGGGGCATTTCGTCCAGTAGCCTGCTCTTACTGTGGCTAAGGAGATGTCTATGGGATGCCTACAAGCAGGACCTGAGTACAACAGCCCTTCCTCTGCGTGTGATCCCCAGCAACTGGTCTCCAGAGGCATACTGCCTCAAACTGTGAAGGGAGAACATAGCTGTTGTGGCTTAGGGGCCATTGATAGTCTTGTTGTCCATAAAGTTGCCTAATCTTTTAAAGCCACCCCAGTTGGTGGCCATCACTAAATTGAAGCAAGTTTCCTGAAGGTAGAAATCTTGAAACCAGTTGCCTAACCTACTGACTTGGTTATGTCAGTTAGTGATGCTGCTGAGGTGCAGAATTGAGAGGTTCAGAAAGGAACTCTTGCAACCCCTGAGCCCCTGTTAAGCAGAATCCAGCCACCTGATACGAGTCTGGCTCTTAATCGGTCAGCCCACATGATTACACACTGCTGTTGTTGCTGAAGTGGCAATGGGGAAGAATTATGATGAGCCCCCGGGAGACCAGTTAGTGATTAGAGCAGGGGTCAGCAAGGTTTACCTTGCCTGGGCCGGTTCACTCTAGTGGAGATCCCTCCGTGGGCTGGATCACATGCCTGCCTGTGATTTCCGGCATCTGCGCCTGCGCAGACGCGATTTCCAGCGTCTCTGCAGGTGTGATTTCCGGTGCTGAGGAAGTGAGTCGCTGTGCTGCGCCGGTTTAGCTCAGTGCGCGGGGACTCGCTGAGCGGGCGGCTCGGTTCGGGGGCGGCTCTGGGGCCAGTTAAATTACCCCTGTGGGCTGCTTGTGGCCCATGGGCCTTAGGTTGCCAACCCCTGGGTTAGAGGAACCATATCCTCAATGGTTCCTGATGGTTAATGGTTAAATGCTCAACCAGAGGTTGCTGGACTGCAGCTTCCATTTCTTCTCTCTTCACTATGCTGACTGGAGCTGATGGGAGTTGGAGTCCAGCAACAACTGGCAGACCACAGGTCCCCCTACCCCTGCTGTAGACCCTAATGGAGGCTGTCCCACCATCAGTTTAAGATCACTAGGGATTATTGGTGGAGGGATGTAGCTGTAGGTTTGTGGAGAAGGAATTGCCCAACTTGGGTCTGAGGTTAAGCAAGTTAACTTTGCATCTGTTCTAGTGCGAACCTAGTGGAACTTGTCTATTACAAATGTATAACCTGTCCCATAGGCTGCCTTTTTATAACTCTGGTCAGCCTATTGTCTGGGCACTTGTCCAGTGAATCTTAAAAAAAAAAAAAAAAAAGCACCACCAAGTGACGCATGCTATAATGACTCTCAGCTTGAGCCACTCCCTCTTTACTAGCCTGGAAGAAATGGAAGTTCTTTTTACCAGGGTATTTATAGCAATGTTCCATAGGTCACTGTTGTTTGTTACTTTTTTTGGGCTTAACAGCCTCCACCCGAGACACACACAACTTGCTTTTGTCCTCTTTTGGCCATCTCTGTCTTATACTTCACTCTGAGTTGGGTAATAGCCCAGATGCTTAAGTATTTTATTAAGTCTCGTTAAGAACTGGCCTCTTGCTCCCAACTACTCCAGTCTATCTCGCTTGCCTCAGGTGAGAGCCAGTGTCATAAGAGACAGCGGATGTGTGAAATCCAGGTTCAAAACCCTACTTGCTTCATGGAGCTCCCTGTGTGGCTTTGAGCAAGTCAGTCAATACCTAGGCTGAATCTGTCTCACGGGGCTATTAGAAGACATTGGGGTAAATCCTGTATCCTTCGCTGAGCTTCTTGGAGGAAGGATGGGGTACAAGCTTGGGGCTTTTGTTGCATGTAAATCAGAGCAGGGTTTCCAGTATATAGAACAGTGTTCTTGTTGAGACAAGACAGGCACCCACAACCTGCACTTTGCAGAAACAACTGATGACATTTCTGTCCCAACCAGCTTTCCCAGCTGGATGAATATGTCTTTGCTGTGGGTGTCTGCTTTGTATTGTTTTTAGATTTATCTGGAGTTGTTTTTTGTATCTTAACTGCTTTAGCTGCTAATATTGAGTTATTTACATTGTATGTTGAGAGGTGTATGTGCAATGCCATAAATCAGGCATAGGTAAACTCAGCCCTCCAGATGTTTTGGGACTACAACTCCCATCATCCCTAGCTAACAGGACCAATGGTCAGGGATTATGGGAATTGTAGTCTCAAGACATCTGGAGGGTTGTTTGCCTATGCCTGCCATAAATAAACGGTAACTGTGTAAATAGCTCACAAAAGTTGTAAACCTGCATATATTTGTTGTTGTTGTTTTACTCACCTGTTAATAGGCTGCATGCTATGCTGGTCACAGAGGAGGATTGGCTGCCTCTTCCATTTGGGGCCATTCCTGGAGTGTGTGTGTGTGTGTGTGTGTTTGTTTGTTTGAATAGGAGCTACTTCCCCAGCCCTGTACCTAAGGCAATGGTGGGACCCACACACTGTGAGTTGCCCAACCTACCACCACCACTTGGGGACAGCCCTACCGACTAAAAGTGAAATGTAAGCTACTACCTCTGAGCAGACGAGTGAAAAATAAATAAAACAAAAATGACCTCCTAGCAAGCAGACTGATGGAGGGGATGGAGGGGTCCTGCTCCATCCCTAGCCAGCCTGCTGCATTTCTATGATGGTTTTGGCAGTAGAGGCCGTTTCTTCTTCTGCAGTTCTCACAGAAACCATCCCTCCTCCACTGCCAGCTTGCTCACTTCCCTACATAGAATTCAATGCAATCTCCCACAATGAATTTAAATTGTTGTTTTTTTAAAATAATTTTTATTAACCGACCAATCAAATCAAATCACATCACATAAATTCCGAATTACAAAGCCGAATTTTATATTTTTTGTTGGGGGGGCCCATATTTCAAGTTCCGAAGGGGATTCCAATCATCTTCTTGCTGCTGCGTTAATATCCACAAATCTGTCCAAATAATGTTCATAATTCTATCCAGTCCTATCTTGCTGTTCTCACATCTCATCTTGTTCGTATATTTTTCTTTTTTTCTTTATGATCTCTTCTGATAATCTCCTTAAGCAGGTAAACACCAGTTATAATCCTGTGTGAAATTTCCGTTCGTCCAATCATCATGTCGAGATGGTATCCATATATCATCACTTTCATAAATAAAAGCACTCTTTCCATCATCAGTCTCGCTAATCTGTCTTTAGTCCCTCTGAGGAGGCTCACCCACGGTATGAAAACAAAACTATTCCTCCTCCCAGACATAAGCCTTTCGACAGAACTTGCCAAAATGGCGACGCTATTTTTTGCTGCGTCATTCCAAAGCTCTTATACTTTCCACGGTCTCCTTAAAACATGCTTTGGTTAGAAAATTATCTCCACACAGTCTTAAATCCTCAGCTTAAGTCATTTAAACGGCATTTCTGACTTGTGACTTGTGGGGGGGGGGATTCTTGGTTAATCACATAGAGAAAAGAAAGGAAAGTTTTTCCCCTCCCCAATCCAGTCCCGTTGCCGGACATACCGAGCCTTGGTGTGTCTTCTCATGATTTATTCCTGTTCCTCCGACCCGTCTTGTTTCTCAGAGATCTCTTCGGTTAGCAGTCTTTACTCCCTATTCTTCCTTGAAATATGTGCATTCGCTTCCTCCTAATTGTTTCTTTTGAAGTTGCTGCAGCTAGAGGCGCGAATCAGAGACAGCATCCAGGAGCGCCAAAGTCCGCACAAGGGCTTTCTGCCTCAAATTCGGGAGTGGTATAGGGCACAGCAGGCAAGGGCAGTCCCCCCCCACACGCTTGGGGAGGGCTGGGAGGCTGTTTACTCCCATCACAGCCTCTTAGTTACCTCGTGTGGGTCGGAGAGATGTTATTGTCAGCCATCTTCCGATGCGCCCCTAGTGGCCCCCCATGAATTTAAATTGTTAAATACAAGGCTGGTATAGTGACAGTGGTATAGTGGTATAGTGACAGGTTCCCTTCCCATGGATGCACAGAAGACAAGTTAGTAGTTACAGCATGGTAGTCGTGGCCCATACAGCTGCATCACTTGCAGCATGGGTGGGAACGCCTGTTAAATGGATGCGGTTTCAGCTGTGTGCCATAGGAAAGGCTTAAAGAGCACTCGCTTGTGGTGAGTAAGATTGGCCTCCAGGCAGGGGAGGTTTTTTTGTAAATGGGATGAGAGTTGGCTCTTTCAGGCTCTTGCACACCTATTATGTATACTAGTATCTGTTGGCAGGCAGACCGGTACAAACAATGTCTTTGAATTAGGTTGCCAGGCTAAGACATCATGCACACTTTTGAGTAATATGATTACTCGCATACACTTATTTCACATTCTCTCTCCTTTCCTTAAAAACGTCCTCTACCTCAGCCAGAACAGTAGTAGACTATCCCTAGAGATGCAGGGTATGGTTTTGCTATGCTTCTACATAACAAAGTTGGGAGCCACCCACACAGCCTGAACCTACGGTGTTAAACTGGGAGCTGACATTGACCATAATTCTCTGGTGCAGAGTGACTTTCTGTTGTTCTCTGGTTAACACCCTAAATGCTTTGCATTGGAAAGCAGAGTGGAAAGACGCTTCAGTTTTATGCCAGGTGCCAGAAGGATTGGTTTGGAAAGAAGATGCTACAGATTCCTAATAATAATAATAATAAATAATAATAATAATAAATTTGACATCATTAGCACCAGATGTGTTTCGCTAAAAGCTCGTTTAGACTGATGCAAACATGCAACATAAACAGGTGTGGCCAACAGGGAAGAAGGGGTAAAGGAAACTGTAAGGGAACTGACTAGCTCTGTTGAGGATGCTTAAGGGGGATTGTGACAGCAGTAGGATTAATTTGCCTGTTTTTAGAGAGGGGGTGTAGTTTGCCAGAAGCCCCACCCCCTTTCAGAACTTGTTTTGACATTTGCTGAGGGTTTGGTCTTGCCTGCTCCCAGAACAGAATGCACCCTTCACACCTGAAAGGTATGATTTGCCACTATTTTTCCCATCTGAAAAGAACCTCCTCTAACCAATGGGAGAAATTGGAGGAGAGCCACTCCAGTAATTTTCTGTAATTATTGTGGGTGTACACAGCAGTGTTTTAATTGAAGCTTAAGCTACCTAAGGTATGAAACTGACTCACAAATCTCAGCAGCTTTTGGAGAAGGACAAATTAGGAACACTTTGAGTGTGTGCACACAGTTAAGGGCAGGTTTGTGGCAGCTGAATGTTCTGCTCTTATTCTCTGCCATGAAACAAAAATCTGGGAGAGGCTGAATTGGACTAGCCGCTAGATGGATCAGTGGTCTGACTCAATGTAAGGCAGCTTCCTGTGTTCCTGAATTACTGAATAGTGGTTTTGGTGTAACATTGCACAAAATTCATCTACCAAGAAATGGCATGACTAGCGTGTAAAAGAAAGGCCTATTATTGCTAGGCAATACTTTTTAGGTAGGACCAACAAAATTGTCTCCCAAATACTGAGTAAGCTTTGGAGTTTTCCAAATTATTAACCAAACTAGCACTTGGGAGGTGGAGGTGGAGGATATGAAAGCAAACCCTAACATGCAAAAAATTAGGCTGCTGGATGGAATCCCAAGATAACAGTTGTAGGATGGCTGAATTAGTCCAGTCTCTGATAATACTTGTGTGTATCCGTTTATACATGGGATCCTGGGGTGAAGAAGCAGTGGCTGATCAGCACTTTTTGATAACTTAAATCTAGCTTTGGCATGGGACACCTTGTTTTATGGAGAGCCCTGTTTTCTCATTCTTTGAAAATTCTAAGCAGATGGGAATAATGGCAAGACATCAAGCTGTGGCTGTGCTTGCTTTCGAAGTTTCCCTTGTTCAGAGGAGAGGTCTGGTGGCTGCCTTGTGTTGATTCTTTTCCCCTTTTAGTTTTGCTTGTTAGTTTATACATCTGTTCAGCTCCCCATGGCTTTTCAGGCCATTTGTTGTACCAAGCTTCTGCCTGTCCTGCTTGCTGCATGTCTGGTTCAGTGCTAAATTCTAAAACTGGTTTTGTGTGAAGATCTTGTGTGCTTCTGGTTTACTAAAATACTGAGTTAATACCCTGCAAAGTGCAGTGCTGAGGTCAGTTCATGATTGACTGAGCATCCCTCACCGAACCTCAAATGTGGGAAAGTCAGCTAAGCTGGACATGAAAGGCTGTACTTTGTCTTTTGCATCACTGAGTGATTGCCAGATTTTTACCACTGGAATGATGGTGGGGAGGTGGTTCTCTTACGCCAAATCCATTCTGGTGGTTCACTTTACTGGTAGTGCTGTCTCTAGAGTTTCCCAGTGTATGTGGTACAGGTCAAATGGGCATTGTGTGTGTGCCTCAAATGGGCAATAATCTAGGGCAGTGCTAGACATTATTGTGGCAGGAAGCATCAGCTAAACTTTATTGTGGTGTTGGCACGAAGTGTGGAAGACGTGTATATACATTAAGTGCCCAGCTATGTGCATGTGGAGAAATCCAGCTTAATTGGGGTCCCCCCGAAGGAATATATGTAGGGACTTAAAGATGTGTATATGCACAATTTACTTCTGCCCTTTGCATGTTTTGCAGCAGAAAGTACTGATGTAAGACTGATTCGCTTTGTGACAACCAGAATTATTTAGCGAAGGTGGAAAAGGCCACAGCAGTGCCAACAGCTTCCTCCAATGTATGAGGTTTTGCCCCTGCCTCACAAAACTGGAAGCAGCCACCTGCTGCAGGATGTTGACTGAAAATCCTATTCAGGTGTACAGTATAGTGCGCCTGTTTGTTCCCAGTGGCTCAAGGCAGCTTACCCCTCTATACAGGCTCCCACTCTCTACTCCTGCTTTGATCTCCTTTTAAAGCCTTTGTACACCGCTGAAAATTGCAACCACAACGTTAATGTTCCTTTCACTATGTCCACTAACAGCACCTTTCCTCCAATAACTCCCATATTCCCCCTTTTAAAAAGTCCAAACTTCTCAGTGTCTGTCTGATCTCACTGTCACTGAATTCCCCAGTGCACACAAACTTTCAAAGTAGTTTGCCCCTTCATGTAATTCCTTTAAGTCTGTGTTGGGGAAAAGGAGGCCCAGCCTGCCCCAGAAGGAAGCAGGCTTGATGGCAGCTGAGTGTCTGCTTTGAGGAGCCTGGATTGCTTTCCCCCTGCAGGTCTAACTGCCACTACAGTCTCATGAAATAGGACTGTGCCAAACAAATCCACACTTGCCCTGGGTGGTGAAATTGTTTTGAGCTAGGAAGTGTTACTGTCGGTTGGAGGGAAGATTAATGGCTGGAGCATAGTAACTAAATATTTCCCCTAGAGGAGTAGCTCTAGTCCCAAATTTGATGTCATAACCTGCTCTTGCACATTTTGCTAAATGGCTTGTTTTGGCTTAGCAGACCAACCCCCACAATGGAGCTCCTCTCTCCGTGTTAGCCTGCTTGTGTGTGTATGTTGTACTTCCTGTGGAACAGAGATTAAGACAACAGAGCCTGTATCAGCAGAATGCAGTCTTCATGGCACCATACAGATGCGTTTAGGTGTAGGTGGGTGGAACCTCAAAAATCCAGTTAGCCAAAGCTGTGCCCCCGCCATGAGCCAGATAGGATGCATCACGTTAAATGTTACCTGCATGCATCTAAGAAATGTGCAATGCAAGGCGTAAAGTGAGCTTATGGGTGAATATGACACGTCCTATGGAAGTGCAAGCACAGAGAGCTGATCATAATTTTGCTGATTTTTCTCTTACGGGTTTATAAACGTTTCCCAGCTTGAATAATAAAGAAATTTCTAGCTTTCCAAATTAGTTTGAAGATTTTACTACGTAGTCCTTAAAAGTAAAATTGTGCAGCATATCTCTGGTTGGATATGTTGTGCTCTATCAAACCTGCTGGCAAAGTCCTTGGAGTTTTGGATTCCCAGCGGAGCCACCTTCTACCTCAGGGGCACCTCCATGTCTTTAATTGTCCTAATTTATCTCAGGTTAAAAATGGTTTCCCCAGAGTGCTTGGGCCATAACTGCCTTATGTCTAAAGGAGAAGGAGAAGGCCATCAGTGGCCAGTAGCCAGTATGGCAGTGCTCTGCCTCATTGGCCGGAGGCAGTAATGCTTCTGAATGTCAGTGGCTTGAAGCCACAGGAGGGGAGAGTGCTGTTGTGCTCAGATCTTGCTTTTGTGTGCTTCCTATAGGTAGCTGGTTTGCAACTGTGAGAACAGGAAAGCTGTACTAGACGGCCCACTGGCCTGATTCAGCAGGCTCTAATGTTCTTGATAGCACTAACCATGACCCTGCCGGAATTGCTCAACATACTGAAAATTTTAATGTAGACAACTCTACTCTTGCAGGAAACCTGCAGACCTTCAGAACTTGGCACCGGGGACTCACCCGCCCTTCATAACATTTAACAATGAGGTGAAGACGGATGTGAACAAAATTGAAGAATTTCTCGAAGATGTCCTCTGCCCACCCAAGTAAGTGTCACTAATGAGGGGAGGTGTATTGCGGAAAGCTGTTTTGGTGGTGGTGGTCTTTGCCAATTCTCAGGATGGTACTGCTTAATCCTCTATATTGCTATGTACTCTTTATGCAAGTTAGTTGCAAGCTTACTTCATCAGCAATAAGAGATGGCAACTGTACATTATTACAGGCTTAGGGCCAAAAAGCTGTTCCTACCCTGTCGAAGCTATCTATGGTATCTTTGTGCAACAGAGGCGAAATGCATAGGATTTCACATTTCTGACCATGGGGTTTGCTTCAGCCAAGCAGGTCGTGCAGCCACACCAGTCAGCTTCTCCATTGCCTTGACTCTCCCCTTTTTTTCCTTCCCATCAAACTTCTCACCAAACCCCTGGGCTATTGCACTCTTGGCATTGCTCTTTCCTGCCAGGGTGAGCAAGGATCAGATCCGAAAGTTAACTCTTGGTTAAGCATTTCTGTGACCTGAAAATTATTAAACGCAACAGACTGGCAAGCAGGTCTGAACAGAAAAGAGTCTTTGTGTCTTCATTCCCTTGTAAAAGGAGAGACTAAAGGGGATTGATCATTACCAGCGATTGCCATCTTAAAACTCAACATGAAGTTGGCATTACTGATATTGCCAATGCTTGGGATAAAACCAAGTCTATCTTCTTAGTTTAAAGTCTTGTTTTCCACAATAATTTTCCTTAGAATTTACAAACTCCTTAAGAGTACGTAGGGGTGTTCTTGTTCTGTTTGAATTTCATAAGGTGAAATGCAGTAGTTTCCATACAGACTAGTAACCAATTCACTGTATTTTTCTTTTCCAACATGGCCCACAAATTTGCCTGCAACTGGTATCTTCTCTTTAATTCTGGAGAAATCCCCTGAGATTTCTGTCCTCATGCTGAACTTTGGACAGACTTTCAAGGCAATGAGATGCCTCTCTGCATGGTCTGAGTGATTTCCTCCCCCCTCTTCATCCTTCTACTGCCTCATGGGAGGGAGGGAGGAGGGAGTCTCCCAGACCTTGTGTCTCTTAAGTGGCACAGTGCCAGTGACATCTTGCAGAGCTTTGAGGCTCTCCAGCACCTCTGTGGCTCAGCGCTTGCATAGCCTGATTGCTGGGAGAGAAGGGAAAGAATTTGCTCTCTCAGTCACACTGGGCATTAGAGTTGTTGGCACACCTTCAAAGCCCATGTGGCGATCACAAACGGTGACTGGTTGTGAGGGTCAGCTAAAATGAGTGGACCCTAGGATGTCAAGGTGGGTGTTCAGTGTCCTGGTTGATAGCTTTTTAGAAATCAGTCACTGTTTCACAACTAGCTTAAATCAGAATTTTAGCTGTACCCATATTTATTCCAAGGTGAGTTGAGCAAGGGGTTATCACTTTTTTTAGTGGAAGAAATACTGAAATTGTATCACTATGTGCATATTGGGACTTTCTGGAATATAACTTCAGCGCTAAACATGTTTCTGAAGGCTTGTCAAAAATACGGACAGATCTGGTACTTAGACAAAATTCTAAACGGTTTGCTGCTCAAGTAGCAACGTATTTTTAAAAGTTGCATCCATTTAAATATTTCTCAGGGGAGGGCAGAGCTCCGTGTGCTAACTCTGCAAATCTGTGGAATTCATTACGAGGGTAAAGCAGCATTTCTAAGCCACCACACTTCTTGCGTAATGTAATTGGCCACTGCTTGCTTTGGCAAAATTTCAGATGGCCTCTGACACTGAATGAATGACTCCTGTGAGTTCAGGCAGATGGAACTCTCTCCCATGTGCTCTGGGAAGGGCACTGGAGCATTATGTTTGTTTCTTTCAGGTGCTTAACACAGGAACAAGGTTGTAGTTATGCTGCCACTGTGCTCTTCCCAGCTTGCAGAAAGGATGAATTAAGTAGCTACAAAGGGATGTTGCAAATAAATGCCATCAGTAATAAAACATTCTGGAAGGAAATATGCCCAACTTATATGGTACAATGCCATGTTGCAATTGAAATCACACTGTAAATTCATATATAAATATATATATGTATATATGTTTCTCTTCAGGTACACAAAGCTTTCACCAAAACACCCAGAATCAAACACTGCTGGAATGGACATCTTTGCTAAATTTTCTGCATTTATCAAGAATTCCAGGCCAGAAGCAAATGAAGGTAGGGAATCTATTTTTGAGTGTGTTGTGTGGCATTAGCTCTCTTTGCTATCCATCTCCCCCTTCAGTTTCTTAGCTTGCCCAAGTAGAGGTTTCTCCTAAACAGACTTCCTTAAGAGCTGATCTCATGTTTTGCAATACATTCAGCAAACGCTTGATTATCTTTCCTTAGAACTGCTTCTGCAGTAGCAGAGAAGTGGGGGAGCAGAAGGTGCTCAATCTTTTTCCTGTGTCTTCTGTGTTCCAAATTACCCATACTGCTCCCACCTCCACCCCCGTTGCCACCATAAGCTTTCAAATGCATGTTTACAGCTCTGCAAAGGAAAAAGTGACTGGTAGCAGAGAACGTGCAGTAATCAGACAGAGTTTAACCCCCGGCACATGTCCACTTCAAATTGTCTTTTTCTGAACTAGCATTTCAGCAAAATAAAAAAAAATGGAGTAGGGGACAGTGTCGTTGGTGTTTTGGTGCATGCATTTGAATAGAAGGTTTAGTGAGGCTTTTAAAGGCTTCTGGACCAGGCATGGGAAGTCTGGTCCCCCCAGATATTATTGGACTCAAATTCCCCTCAGCCCCAGCCAGCATAACCAACATCTAGAGAGCCATAGGCTTTCCTGCCCTATTCTAGACCTCAAGGGGCTGAAGTGGGCGATTCCACTTCAGTAATGGCAACGGGACCAACATCTGTATGGCCGCCCTGCCGAGACTGTGGTCAAGAGCATTGTTTATGACTTCTGAGTAGCAGGTGAGTTCTAGAGCAAGGCCAGAACCCTTCTGCCCTCATGTTTGGAAGTAAACAAGGTATGGCTCATGCAGCCTATCTCAGCTCTAATTTCCTAAGTCTGGCCAGTGCTGGAGTCTGAGGCATCAAGTAAAAGCTGGCCCTCTTGCCTGGTGGGATGAGACCTCTGTGAATGTACTTTTGTAGCCAGAGACAAAGGGAAGCATATATCATCTCATGGAGGCAGATTTTGGGTGCCATTGGAGGCTGCTGAATGGTAAACTTCATTTGAGTCAAACATGGGGCACCACCCCAAAAAACAATAGTCAGGTGCAAGCCCTATTGAAATGAATGAAGTTCTATAGGACCCTGTGAAATGTTGAGCTTTGTGGTTTTTGTACATGGCCCTTTTCTCAGATAGTCAGTAAAACTGACACACCTAGTTTGTGTAGTCATGAGCAGCCAGTTGCTTCTTATTTTAAAGGCTAAGGCTTGTAGCCAATGTTAGTCCTACTCAGAGTAGACCCACTGAAGGACATTAATTTCAATGAGTTTCCTCAGCCCTAATTTTTATCCTTGAAATGGGCAAATACGCTTCCTTTGTCATTATGCCTAAGGATTGTCCTTCCATAGCTTCTGTCTTTCACTCATCTGGAAAATACATTATGGTCCTTGGAACTGACTCCCACCTTTTGAGCAAAGGCCCAGCTGTTTCCTCTCTCCATCCCTTGATTTGAAGTTCCGGGCTTTTCACATTTAAAAGATGTGCCAGCTGTGTGCATGTGCCTCATGAGATTTTTGTAAGTTCTGCTGACAACAATGGCCCATTAAAGTTAATCATAAAATTGCCAAAGCTGCTAAAAAGCATTGGAGTCATTGTTTGCGCAACCACCTTGCTTATGCTTAACAGCCCTGTTGCATTCTGAGAGCAACTGTGTATCCTCAAGATAGTCATTCACATCTATTTGTATTCAACAGCACATGCTCATCAAAAGCTAGCAACTTATGTTGCATGGAATTGGAGTTGTTGCCTCTCCAACTTCTGTTTGAATTTTGCACCATAAGTGCCTCTGGCCAGCTCTTGATAACTATAAATTGAGCTCATGCTGGAACTGCTGTCCAAGGATTATTATTTGGCTAGGGGTGTGGAGAGGAAACCCTCATTATAGTGAAATTGTACAGACACGAAGCATGGAACCGCTTCTGAGTGAGTATCAAAGAAGCCAATTCCATAGAATCTGCTACTGCATAACTAAGTTCCTGTGTTTGCAATCTTTTGTGTAGGTTAAAAGTTGCACATCCCACGAAGTGTGTCTGAAAAGAGAGGAAGCAGGTCATCTTTTTTTCCAGCCCTTTGGCTTATCTTGATCATGAATTTAAAAAAGTTGGCTAGATTATAATTTGATAAGTCATCTAGAACATGTGCACATCCATTTGCAGTATTGGTTCAGACAGTTAATGTCTTGTTGCACCTTTTTAAAGACAAGTGGATTTATAGTGATACAACCTTAAGTGTACTTGAGTCCCTTTCATCAGATGCACAAAAGGAATGTTCAGTTTGCCTGCAAGCAAATATGCACAGATACAGAAGGAAATACTGAAATACGAGCTCAGTAGGCTGTAAAATGTGTTCATATGTGCACCCGCTTGCTTAGTCTTATGTATTCATGTGCATCTGTTCCTGCTGCTCTATTTTTTCATGGCCATGTGCCCCCACTGTCCACAGCTTTATACGTAGGTGTATTTGTCAATTGAAGATAACATCTCTTGCATCGGATGAAGTGGACACTGGTCGACAAAAGCTCATGCCAAAACAAGTTTCTTTAATGTGCCACAATCTGTAGTAGACCAATCCTCTAATAGTAGAGAGGTGAGCAATGGAATCTGAAAGACACTAAGCAGTAGCCATGTGTAGGAGGTGGGCAAGGCACTAGACTAGAAAAGCTGAGGTTCTTATGGATGCTATGATCTACACCAGGAAGCAGATTGTGAAAAAAAAAGTAGCTATGATGAATACCCCCGGCCAGCTTTTTCCAAGGGCCAGCTTTCCATCATTTAGGAAATCTTTCCTCTATCCTGCCAAATCTACTTTCCTTTAACTCAGGGGTGGCGAACATACACTCTTCATGATGCTGGACTCCAGCTCCCATCAACCCCTGCCCACGTATCCAGTGGCTGGGGATGAAGGGAGCTGGAGTCCAACACCATCTGAAGGGATCCAGGTTTCCCGTCCCTAGTTTAGCCTAAATCTGTCCTTTGTGACTCTTGTGAAAATCTGCAATTTTTCTAGCTTCAGCTCCCCACCAATAATTAGTGAGTTGGCTGGAAAATTCTATACTCATAATTTTTATTGCCTGGTGTACCTACCATTGGCATTTTCTCTGAAAGCTCTGCCATTTTTTTCCTCTTGTATCAAACAGTGTGCTACCCTTGGTGGTCTAAAAATGGCACTTAAACTGAATCCACAGACCTATAGACCTTGGATTATGTTTCCTGCTAGTAAATGAGAAATCTGTGGTTGCTAGGCGACCTTTTGCCACAGGGACCTCATACAGCAGCTCATTGTAAGGAAACAATATTGACAACAGTATCTTTTCCATGGTGCATTTTTTTTGGTGGCTTTTGTACTTGGTTACAGTTTCTGCTCACTTTCTATCTGCTTTTTTCCTTTGTGGCCTGTAAAATACTGTGCTTAGGGATGGATTGGCCATGTAAGTTATTGCTTAAGTCATTTGCAAGGCTGAGCTACTGATGAGGATTGTCTCAGGCTCACCTTTAACCCTGAATATATCAAATAGTCCCAGCTCATGTATGCCCTGTGCTGGAGATCAGCATTCTACAGTTTAGCTATCTGTATTTTGTGATCTGTGGAAATCATGTGGAAATGCGTGTTTTATTCTGCATAATTCCGCTTCTGTAGTCATGGGGGAGGAGCTGTATAGGGCACTGAAGTCCCACCCACTGGCAATCCTTCTCAAGTCTTCACAACCACAAGTTTATTTTTCATTAGAGATTGTTTTTAAAATTTTGCAGCAAGTATCTCATTCTGTGGCTTTTCTGGACTTGCATGGAATTGCAGCATACACATAGCCATGATTACTGAAAATAAATCCTGATGGCATTGAGCTTTGGGAAACAGATATAGCTAGACATTAGTTGGAAGGCAAGATGAAGGCACCGGTACAAGTAGGTTAATTTCCAGAATTCTGTGGAGTAGTCTTTGGGTACGGCAACCCTCTACTGACTCTCTACTTCACTTGGTTTCAGATGAATTTGCTTTGACTATAAGCTGGCCTGTTTCTTCACTGTTCTGCCAAGTAGTGTCCAATGCCATTGCATGCCCAATGGCTGCTTCTCTTCTGAATTGGAGCAGGTGGGGGGAGTATTGCACACACCCAGAGGAGTTTTGCACCAAATGCTCCAAGGATTCTCCTACTCATCGAAGATATTTGGGGGGGGGGGGGGGAGGAAAGGCTACTCCTGTGGAGCTTCTGGGAGGGAGCCATTGTCTTGAAGTCAAACTTACATCAGCATTGGCTCAAAACTGGAAACAACACTGTTGTGACTAACACAGAATGCATGCAGTAGATGGGAGAATTCCAAAGCAGACAATCCCACAGAATGGCTCATAGTTCTCATTCCAGGCTAAGGGCAATGCTTCTCTCTGAATTGCCATGCAAGATGTACAGAGGTTAGTTGGAATTCATCTCATTGCTGCCAGAGCAACTTTACTCGATGGCACATTGCTCCCACTATGAAATCTGATCTGGGGTTTGCTTTTTCTACATCTTGCAGACCTTCCTGGGTTCAGTGGAGGCAGAGCTTTAAGGGTGTAAAATCTTGTTTGCCCTAGCCTGTAGAAGCAACAAAGCCTTCATTACTTTGATTCATTAGTACTTGTAGACGCGGGGTTTCTTTTGACATTCTAAAGTTTAGAAGTCATTGCTTGGATTGTCTTAGAGAAGGAGCATTGCTGATAGCCTCTTTTTGCAGGGTTACGTAAATACTTCTCCAACCCTACATTCTTTTTATGGCCTTTCAAACAGGTGGGGCAAAGCTCTCTTTCCTGTAAGGAGAGAAATGTTGGTGAAGACTGCCCTCTGCTGTTACTTCAAGAACTAATATGCAACAGTAATGGAGCTTAATGTTGATGTTAGCCACTCTGAGCCTGGCTTGGGCGGCGGAGGGCGGGATATAAATAAAATTTATTATTATTATTATTATTATTATTATTGAGCAGAAATTGAGTGCTTCATCAGAGCTGAAAGGGCCACATTCTAAACGGCACCCCAAGTGAACAGATTCTCCATTTTTTGCTTGGTGGGTGATTCATAGATCGCTTGGCGCTGTTTCCATTGGGGGTTAGGTACGTAGGTTTCAGCTGTGATTGATTTATCCAGCACCATTGGCTTTCCTTCTTCCTTTTTCACTGGCTAACTCTTCCAGCCTTGGAGAGAGGCCTTCTGAAAACTCTGCAGAAGTTGGATGAGTACCTGAATACACCTCTCCCTGATGAGATTGATGAGAACAGCATGGAGGATATCGCAGCTTCCACCCGCAAGTTTCTGGATGGTGATGAGATGACGCTAGCAGACTGCAACTTGTTGCCCAAACTACATATTGTCAAGGTGGGTGGAACTACCTTGAGGGCTAGTTTACATGTGCACACATTTGACGCTTGGCTCAACTGAACGAGATAATTTCCTGTAGTGGCAAATGGGCTTTGGGAAATTCTATTGGGTGCCTGCACACCTACAAGTTGCCACTGATGCTAAGCTTCCTATTCATTTTACAGGGAAGGGGCCATACCCAAGTTGCATGCAGAAGGTTGCAGGTTCAATCCCTGTCTTACACTGTGTCAAATCATTGGCCCATCTATCTCAATATTGCCCACACTGATTGGCAGCTGCTGTCCAGGATTTCAGTCTCTCCCAGCATTACATGGAAATGCCTAGGATTGAATCTGGGATCTACCGCTCTGCTTTTACCACTGAGCTCCACCCCTTCCCCTGTATTAGGCAAGATGGACAAGTAATCTGACTTGGTATTAAGCAGCTTCCCCTCTCATTCTTATATGCAGACAAGTCCGATGCTATTTTGTGGTTCTGGTTGCGGTCTCAAAGCACAAAAATTATGGGCTGGTCCCGTCTCTCTTTGGATATTGTAAAACAGCTGTTCTTCTCTTTCTTTGCTCCTAGGTTGTGGCCAAAAAGTATCGCAACTTCGATATTCCCAAGACAATGACTGGGATTTGGAGATACCTGACAAATGCCTATGGTCGTGATGAATTCACCAACACTTGTCCTGGAGACAAAGAGATTGAATTCGCCTACAGCGATGTAGCTAAGAGACTCACTAAATAAGCAGTGTTTCGCACACATTTCATAACGAAACGCTTCTTTTAACAGACTGCTCCCCTTTTGTCTTTTTAAGATAGTGATTTACTTTGCATGTACTTGCAGTTATTCAGTGTTACATTGGGTAGACCAGGTATTTTTTCTCTCTCAAAAAATGCAAACCAATGTTATGCCGTTTGCTTGCTTTGTATCCTATAATAAGCAAGCTGAGCACAGCAGTTAATGTTGCAGTGAAGCAATTCTGGAACCTGGCCCAGAACTGCTGAGTGGGACCCCTACTTTTACTACCTGGGCTTGCAGATCCTGGGTCTCAATTAGGTAGGACAGCCATCTTACATAGTCCAAGGAACCAAGTGGTAAAGCTTTTCCTGGATTGAGCATTTCAGGTAGTGGGAGTGGAGTGCAAGTTTGAACACTTTCCCTATATTAGAAGGCACCTTGTCTCTCTTGTCTGCGCACACTTGGCTTGTTGGGGAGATGGCTTCAGCATGCTCTTCTCCGATAGAATATTTTAATGCGCAGAATTTTATTCATTGCAGAGCGAATACAGCCTCCGCAGCTCCAAACTTAGGTGATTCAGCCTAAGAAAAGGTTGTTGTTTTTTTTACCACTTGCTTCTTCTGATTATATAAAGTGGCCTTTAAATCTCAAATTGCATCTTGGGATTTTCAGATTTGTTTAGGAAGCACTTCTTGGTGTGATTTAAGGATTATTTATGTATTTTCGAGATGCTGTTGCATACCAGAGCTCTCCTGAAACACTGTACCTGCTGGTCTGTCTGAACAGTGCACCAAAGTCTCTTACTGCCTCACCGAAAAGAGCTACATGCAAAACCTTTGGGCAAGCATGCCTGCTCATGAGGAAAAAGGGCACATTTCAACAAGTTCAAATGCCACAAGCTGTGACCCATAGACACCAGGAACCCAATAAACTGTGTTGTTGGAGGTGACAAGGGTTCACTGCATATGCTTGCATTGGGGGGTGGAGGGGGGAGTACATAAGTCTCCAACTGATTGGATCAGAAAGCAAGACATCTTTATTGGATGAAGCACAATAATCCAAGGCCATAATAGCAAGTTGCTTTTTTTTTTAAGGCACTAGGAGGCTTGTCAATATGTGGGATTTATTTCTTAAGTAACATCATTCCAAACCTGAGCTGTCAAGCAGCCTAAATATGCCAGATGTTTCTACTCAACATGTAACTACTCTTTTACGTTGCTAGCAAGAAATGCTGTGGTTGGGTGCCAGGGGTGCTTTCTTCTCACTGTGCTAATGTCAGATTCCTGCAAGTAACTATTTTTTATTTTTAAATATGTGCAAGTGGCCTTTAGATACCAACTGTTTTGCCTTATGTGCATAATTCCATATTGATGATTTTCTCCTTGGTCGTTTGTAAGTGTGGAATGTGGAGTTCTCAGTCCCTCTTTCAATTGTTTCTCCCTTCAATAAGTCACATCTGACTGCTGCATATGTACCTGATCTATATTTTTTCACATCACAATCATTAACACATTACAAGGTCCAAGTTGTGTGTTTCTAGAACAGCACCAAGGAATAGCACTGTAAAAACAAAAATGGTTTGTGTTTCTGACTTGGGTTTTCTTTAATAAAAGGAAAGGCAAGGATTTGAGGCATGGAGCAAACTTTCTATTTATTTTAAATGCCATCAAAGACTACTCCAGCCAATCAACACTAGCCTTCTTGCCAGCGTACCTTTTGTAACTTTTACACTGGAGTGTACATTTTTAAAGCACGTATAAGGGCTCCTGTTAACAGACTTTCTCTCAGCCCAACTCTGTACACACTTGCTCAGAAGCGAGTTGCCCTGAGTTTGGCGTGGTTTATTCCCAAGTACACGCGTGTAGAATTGCAGCCTGGCTTACTCAGCATAAGTGAGAGCATGGAAGAGGATTAGGGAACCTTTTTTTTGTACAAAATTTCATTTCGGTGAGGGACTTGGTGTTAAGAGCCTTAGGTTTGTGGTTTTTTCTTCTTTTAAATCTAAGAATCATATTTACATTGTGATCTGATCCAATAAGTAGATACATGATTTCAATAATAGCTTTGTATTTGTTATACATGCCTTTGTGGTGCCTTCTTTCTCTTTGCCAGTATTCACAAAAGCCAGTCTTAGGCTTAAGGGTGGCCCCAAAGCATCCTGCAGCTTTGACACAAAACACTAGAAGGTAGAACCTTTTCTAGCATGTTTGTACCTCTTAGTTTAATTTCACTGGCCTGAAATCTGCTCCAGATTCTTCTTCTTGCTGATTTTGCCTTTAAGTCAGTTGACCAGCTTGGTGTACACATTTGGGGGGTAAGGTACCCAAAGGGTAGAATTGTGTTGTACAGCATGGCGGATCTTATGCACAGGGTGGTTGTCCTGCTAATGCCCACACTTGTTTGCCTTCCAGTTGTCATTTTGCCTGGCAAATTTAAAGTTTCAGATTAGAAGGTAGGATGACCAGTGTGACCAGATGGGATTCGAGGAAAAAGATGGTCAGATGTGGGCCATTAGCTCAAATTCTTGCCAAGTCACTGTCCACATAACCACCTCTTATGTAACTGCTATTTCCCCATCTGGTTACTGGATCCATTTAGCCTGGAACTGGTGCTTGGTGGATTGTGTTTATTTGAAAGCGTACCTTTAATGAGTCATGAAATAACTCTGCACCTCCCAACAGTATCAGTCAAAAGGGAGGAAGCAGCCTGCCAATTTATTTTAAATTACACCGCAGCACAGGACAACCTTTATCATTTGATGCTGATTATGCCTTAGTACTGTTTGACGAAACCTTTCCGGTTTGAAATGTAGGCAGCAGTTGAATCTTATGCTCTTGATTCTATTAAGTTGGAACAGAGAAGTCATTTGGAAGTACAGTATATTTTACAGAGAAGCATTATCTCTTCCTCAGTAATATTGATGTGCATAAATGTTTTTTTGTGTGACCAGTTATCCACTTGGTGTGTAGTAGAGGCAGTTTCTCCGACAAGATAAGGTGCATAATTTGTGGTTGCAAGTGATCAACCATTTGGTTAACTTTAGCAGCCCACGTGGGTGAAAGCATTCAGTTTTCCTCTTGAATGAATAAAGAGGTGGGCGTGTGTTTATGGATGGGGGGCTTCTGTCATCAAATGGGAAATTTTTTTATAGTTACGTTTTTGCAACAGAAATGTGAAAGGAATTCCCATTAGCTAACCTTTGTTTAGCCTATGAAATTGGTAGCATTCATATACAGATTAACTTTCTGGAAGACAGAGAAAACCCCAAGTTTGACTTAACGTTTATTCTTCCAAGGTTGGAGAGGAGGGAGTGCGGAAAGACATGTGTTGTACCTACTGTATTTATAGTTTGGGAACTTGCCTAACCTGCACAAAACTGAAGAGTTAATGATCTTGCCACTTGCCAGTTTCTTACAAAATTGATATTTTTTATGTACATATGCATTCTTAACAGAATTTCAGACATTCTGCTTCTAGCCATCCAAAATAGCAAATGTAGGTCTAATTCTCACAGACATTCCCCAAACCCACCATCCTCAGACTTCTGAGCATGGGATGAGAGTTGCATGAGAACCAGAAGTGTGAGCAAGAGCAGCTCCTTGTAGCAATTCCTTAAATGTTCCTCCTGTATTAATGCGACTTCCAAAATGTCTTTCCTATAGCCAAAGATGTTTTAAATTCCCATTCTAGTTGTCAGTCTAGGAGCATTTGAGGAATCACTCCTTTGCCTAAACCTGGGCGGTGGAGGGTGGAATCTGTGGCCCTCTTGATGCTGCATGAATTCCCAGCTCCCAGTAGCCCCGGCGGGCACGGTCAAAGGGCAGAATTATGGGAGTTGCAGTCCAGCAACAAGGCCACAGCTTGTCTCACTTTTGCCCTAAAAATAGGCAGGAGTGTTAATATTTAGAATGATTGAAGTCATCTCAGAACTGGTATGCCTGGGGAAATTCTGTGCATGTATTATTGTTAGCCACAGGATAGTTGTGCCATTGAAAGAGCCTGCTGCCTTGGACCACTCTGAGAGGCAGCTCCTGCTGAAGGGGAACATCCCAATTGGCTGCATCTAATGTTACTCTGAGTGCAGATTGCTGCTTGGATTCTGCTTCACAAGTAACAAGAAGGGTTGAGGTGGCCCTGAAGTCCTTTCTGCAAACATGATTCAGGAGGAAAAGTCTTTGCCCTCATCCTATGCCCTTTGATGTCATGACACTATGGATTCCAATGTTTTGGATGATGCATTGTCCACATGCTCTCTGTTGGGTCATATTTATATAAGATAATTGGCCATTCTGCTTATTTTGTTTATAGTGAAATAGAATTTATTTTTAAAAGAAAAGCTGTGGGTTATAGCCAGTGTTAGTCATGCTCCATCAGAGTAGACCCATTGAAATGAATGGGCATGATTAATTTGGGCTCACTCATTTCAGTGGGCCTACTCTGAGTAGCACTTGTAGTGACTACAACCCAGAGAATTAAAATTGCATGACTTATATATCAAGGGATGCCTTTTTAACAAGGTCACTTTTGCTCAGCAGGCAGAGCTTTGAGGAACAAAGAGAACAGGTGGAACACTTCTCTCAAAAGTGTGCAGAGTGTTTGTGAAATCATTACACTTGTCTGACTCGCACACGAACCAGTGTGCCACATTCTGGGCACGGAGGGGTTGGAAAGCAAACCCCAGGTTCCCCACCTATGTCAAGTCCTTCCTGTGGGACTCCAGCTCTCATGAGCCCCAGCCAGCACAGCTGAAGATCAGGCCTCTGTAACAAAAGTATTTTCTGTGGACTCAGCTCAACATGCATTTGTGCACAAATTGGTTCTGTTTATGTTATCAGCCTCTAAAGGTCGTGGGCCACAGAAAATGGTCTAGCCTATCTTACTATGCTAGAGCTATGTGCAAATATTAACAGTGACAAAGAGCAACCAGCTTAGAAATCTGGCCATTCTAGGGCCTACCAGTGTCTAAATGTAACACACAAAGGTGTTCTAATTCATACTAAAAGTGT